TGTCTTATTTATATTATATTGAGCATATTGTAGCTGACTTTTCTTGTGCGTATAGGTCAGTAGTAGTTTACGTCTTGGAGCTCTGACATGGAAAGCTTCTGCATTTAGTACACGCCTTACTGCGCTCACTTAACCCCTTCCCGACCAAGGACGTGTCAGGTATGTCCGACAAAAAACGACCCTTAAGGACTGCGGACGTACCTGATATGTCCGCAGCTATTTAGAGCGCTGGACGAGATCATGATCCAGTCGCTCTAGCGGTATTGCAGCAATGCCTCGATGTTGAGGCATCGTGCAATACCCCCCTGACTGCTGGGCTCCCGAGTGATCACTTCCCCCGGAGCGATCACTTCCGTGTTGCTCCACGTGAAGCTCGTTAGTGAGGCAGAGCATCGGAAGCCATCAGGCAGGCTTCTGATGCTCTGCCTGTGCTGAGTGCCTTGAGTGGTCCCTCTCCCATGTACTTACCTGATCGCCGCCGTTCCCCGCCGGCGATCGGTGTTCTTCTTCTATAGAATATATATAAAAAAGAGATAGATATTGTAACAAACCACCTCTTTTCCAGGTAGGATTTTGTCACAGATCTTACAATAAACTACAGCCTTCTAGGGTATACAAAGTCCAGGACACATTCAGTTCGGTTTTCCTTTTTTATTTGATAGGAAAAACAACTGCTTTAAATAATAATAAACAAAACAAAATTCCTTGCTCTTACTAGACAGAAATCACTATCTGTAATTGAGTGGCTTCCCCACTTAATTTTCCTCAAAAAAAACGAAATAGCTTTGCAATAAACAAAATTATTTTTTTCGCTTCCTTTTCCTTTTCCCCTCTCCCTCAAGCTGATCTCTTCTTTTAAAGGCCTGTCTGCTAATTGACCAGCTACAGGTGAGTGCCAATTAGTTAACTCTTAAGTTAAATCCAAATTCTAGTCTGTTACACAGCAACTAGTGCTGTTGGAGCACTGGCCCACCCTGCTCTCCAAATGCTCCACCCCAGGGACCCATACCGTGTTTTGCAGAGCCTCAGCAATGTATAACATCTCTCCCTGGGGCATTTAACTGAAAATAATCTGGTTGCTGTTTAGCAAATCAGGCCTGATGTATCTTCCATCAACCACTATTCCACTTTTTCGCTCACTATATATAATACGTAAATATATCTTCTTATCTGTAACGTCATGCTAAGTGTATTTTTTTTATTAATATATACAGGTGATACTCGAAAAATTTGAATATCGTGCAAGAGTTAATTTATTTCAGTAATGCAACGTAAAAGGGGAAACTAATATATGAGATAGATGCATTACATGCAAAGCAAGATAGTTCAAGCCGTGATTTGTCATAAGTGCGATGATTATGGCTTACAGCTCATGAAAACCCCAAATCCACAATCTCAGTAAATTTGAATATTGCATGCAATCAATAAAACAAGGAGTGTACATAGAACAATATCGGACCTCTGAAAAGTATAAGCATGCATATGGACTCAGTACTTGATTTGGGCCCCTTTTGCAGTAATTACTGCCTCAATGTGGCGTGGCATGGAAGCTATCAGCCTGTGGCACTGCTGAGGTGTTATGGTAGACCAGGATGCTTCAATAGCGGACTTCAGCTCTTCTACGTTGTTCGGTCTCGTGTCGCTCATCTTTCTCTTGGCAATGACCCACAGAATCTATATGGGGTTCGGGTCAGGCGAGTTTGCTGGCCAATCAAGCACAGTAATCCCATGGTCATTGAACCAGGCTTTGGTGCTTTTGGCAGTGTGGGTAGGTGCCAAGTCCTGCTGGAAAATGAAGTCAGCATCCCCATAAAGCTCGTCTGCGGAAGGAAGCATGAAGTGCTCCAAAATCTCCAGGTAGACGGCTGTGTTGACCCTGGACCAACACCAGCAGATGACATGGCTCCCCAAATCAACACAGACTGTGGAAAACTTCACACTGGACTTCAAGCATCTTGCAGGGTGGGCCTCTCCATTCTTCCTCCAGACTCTGGGTCCTTGGTTTCCAAATGATATGCATAAATTGCTCTCATCAGAAAGGAGGACTTTGGACCACTGACCAACAGACCAGGTCTGTTTTTCTTTATCCCAGGTAAGACGCTTCTGACGTTTGTTGTTCAGGAGCGGCTTGACAAGAGGAATACGACATCTGAAGCCCATGTCCAGGATCCGTCTGTGTGTGGTGGCTTTTGATGCACTGACTCCAGCCTCAGTCCACTCCTTGTGAAAGTCCCCAACACATTTGAATGGCCTTTTCCTGACAATCCTCTCCAGGCTGCGGTCATCCCTGCTGCGTGCGCACCTTTTTCTTCCACACTTTTCCCTTCCACATAACTTTCTATTAATGTGCTTTGATACAGCACTTTGGGAACATCCAACTTCCTTCGCAATTACCTTTTGAGGCTTTCCTTTCTTATGGAGGGTGTCAATGATGGTTTTCTGCACAACTGTCAGGTCAGCAGTCTTCCCCATGATTGTGATTCTTACTGAACCAGACTGAGAGACCATTTAAAGGCTCAGAAACCATTTGCAGGTGTTATGGCTTACTTAGCTGATTAGAGTGGGACACTGTGAGCCTAGAATATTGTACCTTTTCACAATATTCTAATTTACTGAGATTGTGGATTTGGGGTTTTCATGAGCTGTAAGCCATAATCATCGCACTTATGACAAATCACGGCTTGAACTATCTTGCTTTGCATGTAATGCGTCTATGTCATATATTAGTTTCCCCTTTTATGTTTCATTACTGAAATAAATGAACTTTTGCACGATATTCTAATTTTTCGAGTATCACCTGTATGTGAGGAAGGCTGAACTTGATGGATGCAAGTCTCTTTTCAGCTATGTAACTATGTAACTATATGTATATATAATTATAAAAATAATTTAGATTTAAAAAAAAAAATAATTACAAAAAAATAAAAATAAATATATATATATGTAATTTTATTCTAACTGTATTTTGATATTTATATATCTAAGGGGTTACATACTGCACATTACTGAGAGTTTTATTGTGTGGAGCTCTGTGATACACTCATACACACTGCACATTACTGAGAGTTTTATTGCTGTGGAGCTCTGTGATACACTCATACACACTGCACGTTACTGAGTTTTATTGCTGTGGAGCTCTGTGATACGCTCATACACACTGCACATTACTGAGTTTTATGGCTATGGAGCTCTGTGATACACTCATACACACTGCACATTACTGAGAGTTTTATGGATGTGGAGCTCTGTGATACACTCATACACACTGCACATTACTGAGTGTTTTATGGCTGTGGAGCTCTGTGATACACTCAAACACACTGCACATTACTTAGAGGTTTATGGCTGTGGAGCTCTGTGATACACTCATACACACTGCACATTACTGAGAGTTTTATTGCTGTGGAGCTCTGTGATACACTCATACACACTGCACATTACTGAGAGTTTTATTGCTGTGGAGCTCTGTGATACACTCAAACACACTGCACATTACTGAGAGTTTTATTGCTGTGGAGCTCTGTGATACACTCACACACACTGCACATTACTGAGAGGTTTATGGCTGTGGAGCTCTGTGATACACTCATACACACTGCACATTACTGAGAGTTTTATTGCTGTGGAGCTCTGTGATACACTCATACACACTGCACATTACTGAGAGTTTTATTGCTGTGGAGCTCTGTGATACACTCAAACACACTGCACATTACTGAGAGTTTTATTGCTGTGGAGCTCTGTGATACACTCACACTGCTCATTACTGAGAGTTTTATTGCTGTATAGCTCTGTGATACACGCATACACACTGCACATTACTGAGAGTGTTATTGCTGTATAGCTCTGTGATACACGCATACACACTGCACATTACTGAGAGTGTTATTGCTGTGGAGCTCTGTGATACACTCAAACACACTGCACATTACTGAGAGTTTTATGGCTGTGAAACTCTGTGATACACTCATTCACACTGCACATTACTGAGAGTTTTATGGCTGTGAAACTCTGTGATACACACTGCACATTACTGAGAGTGTTATTGCTGTGGAGCTCTGTGATACACACTGCACATTACTGAGAGTGTTATTGCTGTGGAGCTCTGTGATACACACTGCACATTACTGAGAGTTTTATTGCTATGGAGCTCTGTGATACACACTGCATATTACTGGGAGTTTTATTGCTGTGTAGCTCTGTGATACACACTGCATATTACTGGGAGTTTTATTGCTGTGGAGCTCTGTGATACACTCATACACACTTTCTCATTACTGAGTTTTATTGCTGTGGAGCTCTGTGATACACTCATACACACTGCACATTACTGAGAATTGTATTGCTGTGGAGCTCTGTGATACACTCATACACACTTTCTCATTACTGAGTTTTATTGCTGTGGAGCTCTGTGATACACTCATACACACTGCACATTACTGAGAATTGTATTGCTGTGGAGCTCTGTGATACACTCATACACACTTTCTCATTACTGAGTTTTATTGCTGTAGAGCTCTGTGATACACTCATACACACTGCACATTACTGAGAGTTTTATTGCTGTGGAGCTCTGTGATACACTCATACACACTGCACATTACTGAGAGTTTTATTGCTGTGGAGCTCTGTGATACACTCAAACACACTGCACATTACTGAGAGTTTTATTGCTGTGGAGCTCTGTGATACACTCATACACACTGCACATTACTGAGAGTTTTATTGCTGTGGAGCTCTGTGATACACTCAAACACACTGCACATTACTGAGAGTTTTATTGCTGTGGAGCTCTGTGATACACTCATACACACTGCACATTACTGAGAGTTTTATTGCTGTGGAGCTCTGTGATACTAGGTCAGTAGGAAGGTGTGTGTCCCAGAGATGACAGCAGTTGGGTTTAAGAAATTAAGAAGATGTTACTATGGCGATGCCAAGCACATCCTGCGTTTCCATGGTTACAGCTCCGGGATGCGCCGTGCACGCGCGCTCAGAACGTGCCCACGCTGTCCTCGGATCCCAGCCGTTCTGTTTCCGACACTGGGAAGCGGCGCCGCTTTACGGCACAGTGACGTGGACGTCAACACTGCATCATGGCGGAGCCGGAGGAAACGTCGTCGCTCTCCTCGCCTTCCCCTCCCGGATCCCCGGCACCGGTCCCGCTGGAGGAGGCAGAGCCGGACACCTGGTGAGAGACACGGGGTGGGAGGCAGGGCCGGTGGGGGCTGTCAGTGTGTATGGGGGACACAGTGTCAGACACAGAGCAGACATGGCAAACACAGGAACACAACTCCCATCCTGCAAAACAAACCCAGGAGCACAACTCCCATCCTGCTAAACAAACCCAGGAGCACAACTCCCATCCTGCTAAACAAACCCAGGAGCACAACTCCCATCCTGCTAAACAAACCCAGGAGCACAACTCCCATCCTGCTAAACAAACCCAGGAGCACAACTCCCATCCTGCTAAACAAACCCAGGAGCACAACTCCCATCCTGCTAAACAAACCCAGGAGCACAACTCCCATCCTGCTAAACAAACCCAGGAGCACAACTCCCATCCTGCTAAACAAACCCAGGAGCACAACTCCCATCCTGCTAAACAAACCCAGGAACACAACTCCCATCCTGCCAAGGCAGGAACACAACTCCCATCCTGCTAAACAAACCCAGGAGCACAACTCCCATCCTGCCAAGGCAGGAGCACAACTCCCATCCTGCTAAACAAACCCAGGAGCACAACCCCCATCCTGCCAAGGCAGGAGCACAACCCCCATCCTGCTAAACAAACCCAGGAACACAACCCCTGAAGGGAACTATTATTCTCACCAGAACAACTACGTTAAACTGTAGTTGTTCTTGTGTCTATAGTGTCCCTTTAAGGGAATCAACACAGTAAAGGAGCAGACTATATTTAAAAGAAGAAAAACTACCACAGCAAGTGGACATAGTCTTAAATTAGAGGGGCAAAGGTTTAAAAATATCAGGAAGTATTACTTTACTGAGAGGGTAATGGATGCATGGAATAGCCTTTCAGCTGAAGTGGTAGAGGTTAGCACAGTGAGGGAGTATACGCATTCGTGGGATAGGCATAAGGCCAGGGACTAATGAACGTATTTAGAAAATTGGGCAGACTAGATGGACTGAATGGTTCTTATCTCACATATGTCAATTATATGTTTAATGACTGGATTGTTATGATGGCATAGACTGTCATTGGTACTTAATGGGTTGAAGAGAAACTTTCACTTAGATTTTGCACATCCAAACTAAAACTGTGATTTATGATCTTTCTTTCTTTTTAAATCTCACTTTTTGTTTTTAATTTACATGAACAAGTTGGGCACAGCGCGTGAATTAACCACTGCAGTGCCATACACATGACATGAATGTTGTGGTGCTATATAATTAGTGCCCAAGTGAGCATGCGTTAATATGGCATTTCTCTGTAGATGCAGAAGTGCTCCCATAGCATCAAAGGGTGAAGTGACAGATCCTCTGTATTAGGTGAAGGATGTAGTGATGAAAATAGTTCAACAGAAGTTTAGTAATTGTATGTTTTATCAGAGTTATTTATACTGTGCACACCAAACATCAAACCACAATGCTAATGAAGGCTAACATGCCACAGGTGCCTCTAGTGGCACTGAGAGGCCGTTGATTTTATCAAGCGGTAACCTGCCACTGCCCACCTTGATTTCATGGTGGGGTGAAGTAAGGGGGAGAGCACAAACACAGGAAGAGGTTACGCAGATGTGAAGAGGGAAAGGGGGTAAATGAGAATGAATTCATGAAAGGTTGAAAAAACAAAATAGGCATTTCAGATTCTGTTACTTTATTTCTGGAGAAAATTGGGCCTGTCTACTAACACTATGTACCACTAGTGGCTACATGTTTGTTGTAATTTTATTTTATTTATGTATTCCATAGCTAAAAGATGTATACTCCCTATTGGTTAAAATAAAGTGTTATTTATTTTGGGAGGTGAGTGATTTATTTATTTTATTACACCCGACTATTGGCCACTGACAGTTGTGAAGTAGGAGAGGTGTTTGTTTCCTGTGGCATTGCCCTTTATCTGTCTTACTTTTATTCTCTGTGAGAATGAACTGAGGACATGGTATTATGACAGTGAAAATTGCCCTGACCACATGCATTGAGCCACAAGGAAGCAGGGAGACGGGTGCACTCATCAGGAAATGCACATGCTGCAGCTAAATCAGTAGGGCCCCTGGCATCTTTTCTGAAGTTAGCATGAGCCTTGAGTGGGTGACAGTTCTGGTTGGTCAGTAAGCATTTCTATATTTAATATTGCTGCCCCCGTCTTCTACTTTTTCTCATTAGTTATATCACTTAGTGTGTCTGTGTGGTTCCAAAAGCACAAAACTAGCATATAACGGCTTGTAAATAAATAAAATAGCTGCTCAAATCATTTGTATGAAACCCCTTAACACGAATTGAACAAATATTAAAAGAGCTACACACTTTGGTGAGCCCCCCCCCCTTTTTTTATTTTATTTATAATTCCTTATTTAACATTGACATAACTGACATACATAGGTATTTGACATTACGGTTAAGTACAGTGTTAATATGAACAATTGGTGATTACGTTTCACAACGTGTTCGAATAACAGAACATCACTGTTGCCACATGGTGTATTTTACATGATCTTTGGATTTCAGGTACTCATGTCTGGCTCTCTGGTAGTTAGATCATAGGTCAATGTTTATTTTTTTAAAAACAAAACAACATAAACGGAAAGAAAAAAATGAAGAGTTTTAACTCCACACCTCTGGGTCTGAGCTATTTTTATGCTTACGGAGTTCTGTAGTTCCTTTGCCCCTGTCCTATCTCGCTGTCGATGTACTCTAAAGAGGCTGGCTTCTCATTTGGCCTTGACCCTGGTAGTGTACCTTGCTTATTGTTTATAGCGTCCGCTTATTTGTGGTTTATGATACTCTTATCAGCTGTTGTGATAGCTATATGAAGTCCAGAGATTTTAATGCCGGCGTCTCCCTAGTAGGGTCATCAGGTTTGGATTTGGTCCCCTGAGCCTAGTCAGTTTTTCCAGAAGGTATGGAGAGAGAGTGTAGATGTTGAGATGGAGGAAGAGAGAGAAAAGTGGGAAATGATACAGAGTGCGGGGGGTGAAACGGAGGGAGGGGCGCCCAGTCACTCTCTATGTTCCCAGGGGGCAGCCCTCCCATGGTTCCCATATTCTTTGAAAGGTCTTTTGGGTACCTTTCACCCTGGCTGTTAGATCGTCCATTAGATGTACTTCTTTGATTCTAGTGATTACCCCTGTTACCGAGGGGATACTCTGCTTGAGCCAATCTGACGCAACTGCCCTCCTTGCTGCTAGGGTGATTTTGTGTATAAGTTTTTGTTCACTTCGAGTCCACCCATCTATTGGTCTGCTTAGTAAGTACAACCATGGGTGGAGAGCCCCTTTTTACAGGCTGGGATGGATTTGTACGTTTAAAATACTCAGAGCAGTGTTTTTATTTTTCTTTCCTCTCGATATCTCAGTGTATAGTGAAGCATCGCTATATATTGTAGATCGGTGTGTTGTTCACTTAAGTACTTCACTGTTTGGTATTTGTTCATTTCTGTGTTGTTTTTGTTTCCCCTGTTTGTTTTGAATGAAAATTCTACATTTTTAAATGGCAGTGTTTCTGTGTGCAAGTTTACTGTAGAAATGGCAGTGTTAAACTAGCAAGTTCAGTAGTGTTGCAGCAATGCAATGATGGTGCTTGTAAGCACAGTATATCCAAAGTTCAGTTTATAATGGTGTGTGTCATTACATCTCTGGGTGTATCTGTGTACCCTGTGCCCCTAATTTGCCAAGGGTACAGCAGCTTAGAGTTTCTTTTCCATTTTACAGATTAAAGTTCCTTTTACTATGGTCACATGCTTACTAGCAAACTTTCTTCAAGCTGGGATTGATGACTGAACAAATAAACACAAAGTTACTTATCAAACAAAACCCAAAGTTCAGTGAGTGGAGTTTCACTGCTTCCCACAGATATCTAGTGATGTCCTACATTGATGTAACAGGGGGATTTTGGCATTGTGAGTGCTCTCACATCCGAATGAAGCTTAGACATCTGGCAGTCTACCAAAAGAAGAGTAGATCTATATAATGAAGAGAAATGTCGTGACACATTTTTCCTAAGGCCATCTTTTTAATCTTTTATATAGCTTTCCATTCATTTAGTGTTTGACAATGGATATTCTCCTTCCATTACAGCAATTATAAGTGAGATGACAATAGGTTTCAGGATGTACATAAACAATGAATGTGTTTACCTGGTAGAAGAGAGAGAATACATTAAAATGGATTCTAAAATATCAGATAAACGTAAAGAATCAATCCGGGCACTATAACAACTCAATCTAAATTTTGTCTTTTATAGTTACTGGAGGTCATGGTTGCCTTCTCACCTTTAAGAGGTTAAGCCGTTTATAAAAAAATAATAATTATTATTATATATTAAAAATCCTACAGAATGCCAGTTTTTAGTTTTTTACCCATGGGAACAAATGTAAATGGGATACTCAGGATTTAAATAAAGTCATTCCCTGTTGTGGGGGACAAAGTTGTCCCATGATGCATTGGGTACACTCTGGCATCTATGTAATAATTCTGTACAAGCCTATGCTCCCAGCATTTTTTTCAGCAGTACCATATAGGTCTGCATTGTGCTTATGGGAGGGTTTACTAAAATGCCATGCCTGGCACAGCATGTAAGTTATAATGAAGCCGAACATTTTTAAAAAGAGACATTTTTATTAAATGCTGCCATCGTGTTTACTGAGGTGAAGAACATAGAACTGGAACTTTTCTGGAAGGGACAGATCTGCTTTAATAAATAAACCTTTAATTGACATTGGATTTGCCTTTTGGATAAAGATAGCAATCTTTTGTGTCTAGTGAGAATTTGGAAATGAAATGCAAAGAATCCACAAAACGTGTGTTATTTTCTGTTCCCACTTACATTCTGCACACTTGATCTAACTCAAACACAAGAGGCAATCATTATGTGCTCAGAAAAATCTGCCTCCTTGCAATTCAAGCCAAATATGACATGCAGTAAATCCACATGCCTGCATGTTTTTTCATAAATAATATAATCTAATTATCGTATTGATTTATCCGTGCAGTAGAATGGGATTAAGCCTTTTGCGTGTAATGCATTCATACAAGAAATTAAAGTTGTAGTTTTTTTTTTTTATCCCCTGCTAAATGTTAATTCATCTGTACTAGTATAGCAAAAAAGATGACGGTGGATGCACATACATTCGTAATGGTAATTTCTCATCCAAACAAAGCATTACGATTTGTTTCAGGAATTCACTATCCCTGACATTACCAGAAACCCACATATCCCCCCCCCACCCCCCATTTCTTCCTTGTTCATATTTTTGAAGTCACTTGTTTTGCTGATCAGTAGAACCTGAAAGAATTTTAGATTCTGCTGATATTGCCTTGGTCACAGGTTAAACTTTCAGAATTGTGCAGCTCTTGGAGCATTGCTGGTGAGCAGTGTGACAGAGGTATAACAGATATTTGGACAGGTTTTGCTGGATTTGCAATGATCTCATGACGAACTGCCTGGACTAGAGTAAGTATGAGGAGAGTATGGAACAGGCTAGGTTCTGTATATGTTAAATCTGGAATCAGAGCATAGTCAGGAACAGGTGAGCGGAGGTACACGGACATCAAGATACTCTGATCAAAATGTGAATAGTTAGGATCTGGCAGGAATCACTATACAGGTATAGGAGCACTCGAGCAAGGCTATACAGGTAGTCTAAATCAAGCTGGATGCCAGGATACAAGAGGGTAATGCAGATAGTCTGAATCAAGCTGGATGCCAGGATACAAGAGGGTAATGCAGATAGTCTGAATCAAGCTGGATGCCAGGATACAAGAGGGTAATGCAGATAGTCTGAATCAAGCTGGATGCCAGGATACAAGAGGGTAATGCAGATAGTCTGAATCAAGCTGGATGCCAGGATACAAGAGGGTAATGCAGATAGTCTGAATCAAGCTGGATGCCAGGATACAAGAGGGTAATGCAGATAGTCTGAATCAAGCTGGATGCCAGGATACAAGGGGGTAATGCAGATAGTCTGAATCAAGCTGGATGCCAGGATACAAGGGGGTAATGCAGATAGTCTGAATCAAGCTGGATGCCAGGATACAAGAGGGTAATGCAGATAGTATGTATTGTATAGGAGTTGGTAAACTGATACAAGACAAGCAGTGCAGATTGTATTGATTAGGTAAGGGACCAAGCAAATTTATATGTATACTAGCAGAAAGCACTGCTATCTTTCTTTATTAGATAGACTATTTCATACAAGGACAAAATATGCATTTCATTTTGGTTTAATGCAAGGATATGGGGACATTAGAGCAGGTCTAGGCAACCTCAGATGATGTGGCCTTCGTCTCCCATAATGCTCTTACAGCCACAATGCTGGTAAAGCATCAGGAAAGATGTAGTCCACAACACCTAGAGTGCTGAAGGTTGCATAAAACTGCACTATAACAAAGTTAAACTTGTAGTTTGGATGAGACTGGTATTAGAACACAGATAATGTGTAATAATAATAATGCACACAGGGAAGTCTATTGCAAGGGAAACATTACTTTGCATGCATTCATCTTATAGAAAAAGGACCTCTGATATCACTTTCTTCAGTTTGTCCTTAAAGGGTGGGTTCTTTCTGCTCTGACAACGCACATCTCTACTACTGACCGCAGAGAGGTTAAACTTCATATGTGCAGCACTTCAAAGTGAAACACTACACATAAAGAATTCAGGCACCATGACCACTTCATAGCACTGAAGTGGTTATAGTGCTTGGCGTAACTCTTTTTGAGCACTAATTAGGATTCCTTCCATAGAAGTCCATGAGCAGTGAACATCAGCAAGGGCACCACGGGATCAGAGGTAGCCTAGAGCAGGGGACCAACTGTGTGGCAGCACTCTGAGAGACAAACAGGCAGGCATCTCCCAGAGAGACCCAGTGAGCTTACCAAAGCTGCGTGTGTGGGCATTATACTGACAGTGAGCTTACCAAAGCTATGTGTGTGGGCATTACACTGACAGTGAACTTGTCAAAGCTATGTGTGTGGGCATTACACTGACAGTGAGCTTCTATGTGTGTGGGCATTACACTGACAGTGAGCTTCTATGTGTGTGGGCATTACACTGACAGTGAGCTTCTATGTGTGTGGGCATTACGCTGACACAGAATTGAAGAATGGGAAACAATACAATGTGATTTCCTTTGTATAATCAAGGGGTGCCCCAAATGTGGATCCTCAGATGATGTGGAATTACAACTCCAGCCTTTAGACCAGGGGTGTCCAAAAGGTAGATCCCCAAATGTTTTAAACCTACATCTTCCATGTGCTTTGCCATTCCAAAGACAAGCAAAGCATCATGGGAGTTGTAGTTCTACAACATATGGGGATCTACCTTTTGGGCATGCAATGTCTATCTTTTAGCCCTACCGGTTTTTGCATGCGACTTTTGTGTCTGCAACAGAAAGCAAATGGTAAGAAATAGAGGGGTACACTTCATAAAACAATAACCATGCAAGCAAGGACAATGGTCCAGTTTACGTAGTAACTGTGGCTGATACCTGTGGTCCCAATAACACAATGCAGCAGGTATTTATCCCTCGACGTATTTCATTAATGTATTTGATAGTATGTGCTTGTGCAAAAACATAATTTGCTAATTTGCAGTGTTTTCTACATAAGCTGCACACGATCTTACTCACATCTGCATATTCTTTACGTCAAGTGATGCAGTGTGAATGAGATTAACAAATGCAAAGTAACTTTTAGTATCTGTAGTTTTAATTATTAACTACTATAGTACTGTTATTGGTGTAATATGCAAGTACGGTCAGTGTATACTTTCCTCTTCTTTTGACGTTTACAAATCTGCACTGAATACAATGAATGCTGTAACCCAGAATTATTGAACATTTGCACACTTTTTCAAACAGAAGTCCTATGTTTACAAAAGACTAAACACGACATATTCCTATCTCTAGGTTATAGTTCCGTTCCGGATGCAGTGTATACAGTGCCAGGCATTGCTTTTTTTGGTTTAACCCCATAAAAATAGTGATTAGCTACTCATAGAGAAGTACTGAGCATCTGCTCGTTACATTGATCCTTACAGTGTCACCTGCTTTTGGCTTTGAATTATGAACGTTATTCACCAATTGTATTTTAAAAATTTTATAGTATGGCTTTAACATTAATATCGGAATATATAAAAAAAAACTAAAAATGAAATGTTTTGCAGAACACAATTTGAGGAAGCACTGTGATTAGTCAGAGGGCATGTGCTTACTCAGTTCACCTTACCAAGTACATTCAGGAAGTGAAAATCACATCGTTGATTACTTCTGTGTCAACAAATCATTAGTATTGGATTTTCATTAGTACTGTATTTTGGTTGCATTTAAAATCGGGGATCTTTAATAAGATCAATTGTATTAGCTATAAACATTGGCATTGTGTAAATAGAACACACATTTATGCAAGTATTTTTTTTAATTATTATAGTACATATTTTTGGACTATTTATGCTATTAGTTACTCTGACCCATTGTAGTTATACAAATATCGCTTGATGTGCATGGGTAGAGCTTGTTTGATCTTCTCTTAACTTATTCAGAATATTAATTACGACCATCAACTGCTTCTTCTTTAGTTAAAGGACCACTAAAGTTACCCAGGCAATTTCATCTCAATGAAGTGGTCTGGGTGCAGTGGCTCTGTAGGTTTATCCCTGCAGTGTAGAGCTTGCAGTTTTGGAGAAAGTATTTTTTCTATTGCAGGAGTTACACACTCCTACAATGGCTGTCTTCCTAACCACCACTAGAGGTGCCCGGTAATGGGAACTGCAACTGCAACCCTCCCCCCCCCCACCCTGTAAGAAAGCTGTCAAACATATTATACCAGAAAATATGATTTTTTATTTATTTTTCATTACACACACTGCAGGTCACAATTAAGAAAATGGTATCACGCCCATTTGTGTACATATTAAAAACCAAACAGCTGAAAACTTTTTTTTGACATTGAGAAAAGTTAAGAAAACAAGTTGTTAATTGACACCCAAATGCTTTATTAGACAATGCTGTAATTGAATTAACGACAAAACACTTCAACCACCAATGCTTTCCTATGGGGAGGCTGGATGCATGTGGTGCTTGCCACGTATGCTTATCAGCCACCCAACACTCTTCTATAAGGAGCATTGTGTTGGACCGACTCCAGAGGTAAGCAGCACCCAGGGATCCTGTAAAAAGGGAAGTAAAAAGCTTTATTTAATGATTTTATGCCAGACGGGGAGACCAATTTTTTGGCAGGGACCCAAATTGTATGCATGGCTTTAGCTCCTGGTCCTATATAGACAGTATATACAGACACATTGGGGGATACAGCCAATCCGACAAACATAAAAGAAAATAATAGTGACGTATCCTCTGGCACCACAATATAGATGTAGATAAATATGGCGCTTACAAGGTCCCATAAAAATAATGCCTTGAACGTTGAACAATAGCTCTTCAAGATCTTGATCCAGGTGTGCAGATTGTATATCTCTGGTACACAGACACAAAACAATAATGCATGATGCTAAAACTGTTAAAAAAATAAAAATAAAAAAAAATTTATGCTACTTGAACTGATGTAACACTGTATATACTGCTTTTATTGTCCAATCAAGCATTAAACCCACGGAATACCTGATACCTCAAGTAATATGGAGCTGCTTCATTGCTCCTTGACGGCAACACTTTTTTTTTTTTTGTTGTACCAGATCTTTGGGAAGCTATACGATCAATTACATATATTTATATTTTGATAGGGAGACAGATCTTGCAGAGGCTCTGGAAGCAGGAGGCTGTGACCTTGAAACAGTACGGAACATAATCCAAAGACGACTAATTCCGTCAGATCTCAGGGCAAAAGTATGGAAGGTAAGATTCAACCACTGAACCATCGTTTCTTTTTTATCTTTTCAGTATTAAAGAAACACACCAAGCACCTTAATTACTCCACCACACTTTAGTGGTTATGTTACTTGGAATGATCCTTGTTTTGGAGTCTCCAACGTTTTTGCAATCAATATAGACAGGAGTTGTTTGAGTTAGTTCATATGAATCTATGCATTTTTAATGTTAACTTTACTCAAGCACAGAACCATTTGGTACAAAGCATCTATTCAAAATTTGTTAATCTAATTTTTGGTCCTCCCTTTTTGTCCACTCGGTATAGAACACTTCATTTTATTCTCTGAAGTGAAATGTACAAATGTTTTTAAACCTCAAAATACCTGATGACTGAGGATGAGCAATGCCATTGGTCTTTCGTATTAATCCTCAGAAAACAAATTCCAGTCGAGTAGAGCCAAGTGTTCTTGAAAATGCATGCCACTGTATCCTTATCAGCTACCAGGCATCATGTGAAGTCTCTGATGTACAGTTTTATTTTAAAAAGGCCATTGACATTGAAAATGCTTTAAATGACAATTGCTTATATGTTTGCTCTTAGAAGTGGTAGAGTCTCGATGAAAACTAGAATGTTATTTCAGGTTTTAGTAGCACATAATTCATCAACATACAAAGAACGAGTGTCACGTGGATCGGTATGTTGGCGTCGGTGTTTGAAATAAAAAGAGAGGTTATGCACTATGAATCAAAAATCTACTAAATGAAGATAAAGAATTAAAATTATTTTTAGATTTGCGCTTGTTAACTCCTGCCTTGAGGGGGTTTTAAAGGGATATCCTGTGTGGTGCAGTTTTTGGTAGACCTCCACTATCAAAAACAGTAGGTTAAAGCTGGATTATAGTATTAATTTTTGTGCATGTCGCTCTTTTCCCAATTTTTTTTTTTTTTTTTATACATATATTGTATGTTTTCATAAAAGAATAATTTCAGTTATTAGTGCTAGTATGTAACACACCTGTACGTCGAATAATGTAATAGAATTACCTGTTTGAGACTCACAAAGTAGTAGCAGTCATTAAAGCTCAAATTGTATGGCATAGACCGGATGATTCTCCTCCTCCGTGTTTGTAGTGACACATCCAGGACTGTTCTAACAAGTTTACTGCCGGCTTGCTTTCGAATGTGTAATATATGGTGGCTTATAGTGTCACGTCTGATGCAACCCAAATGTAGTACACCACATCCTTCTATACTAGCTCTGTTTCAGACCACTATCTTTTTTTTCTAAATCTGCTATTTTGGCCTAAGTTTTGAAATTAACGTTGAATTACCAGCAGTTATCACTTTAGTGAACAATGCAAGTATGTTCCTGCCTTCTTGAGATCCGTTTTGTAAATACACACGTTTACTTTCTAAGTATCTGACACTACCGACAAAGTCAGCAACACAAAATTTTACTTTGGATTTCTATTCATAGATTGCACTAAACGTGGCAGGAAAAGGCGACAGTTTAGCCTCGTGGGATGGTTCTTTAGATCTTCCAGAACAGCCACTGATTCACCAGGACTGTGAGAATCTTATCGGTAAGGCCAAGTGTATTGCTGCCCTGTAATGTTTAATTCATTCTCTGTAGGTATATCTTATGTAGTGCCAGAGAATTCCAAAGAGAAATAGTTGTTGCTTTTCAAATTCCTTTCACATAAAATTGGTGTTGGAATAAGAATATTCTGTACACATTTCAAGTGAGTATCCCACTGTAGGAACTCTTAGTGACTCATCCACCAGATCCCATTGTGATCCCATTCACCTTCAAGCTTACAGTGATTAAAACACATCAAGGATTATTCACTAAACTGAGGATTGTACAGAAGGAAGTCCGCTTAATTACTTGGTTTCTTTAATTCATTTTTTTACCCCCAACTGTAATTGATTTGGTCAACCTTTCCTGCGTACCCACTGTGACCAGGAAAAAACTATCCAACTCCGTCCACTTCAGTTTTGTTTTTCAAAGTGAAAAAAATGTCCACTCTAAAGCATTGATTTTTTTATTTTTTTTCTCTGACCAATGTAAGCTAAGCTTCAATATATGTTATAACATCCAACCTGTTGTGCACCATGCCCTCTATTTGAAACATTAATTGCCTTAAAGTCAATATGCCAAATGAATGTCACATTGACCTGCTTTGTACTTTAATATACGGCTGTGCCTCCTGCTCTGCTCATTGCTTGGAACTGGCACCAAGTAGAGTTGCTTCACTTGTATACCTGGCCAGTACACAGCAATCAGTCAAAGACTATGATTGGGGAAAAAAAAATGTTCTTTGAGTTTACTTAAAGGAACACTTCAACTTTTTTTTTTTAAGTTTGATGTGTCCCTTTACTATTCTAGTTGGTCCTTATTTTGGATTGTTCTTGGGGAATGTGAAATGTTTTATTGTAAAATCATATTATATATTTATCTTTACCACTTATTGCATACCAACAGTTAATACCTGTTCTTTGGATTTTGTCAGATCAGCTCGCCATACCAGAAGATCAGAAATCTGCAGTTCTGAAGGATGTTGAATCTGTTGTGACTTTTTACTGTAAATCCCGCAATGTTAAATACCATGAAGGTGTCAGTTGGATCCATCTTCTGAAGCCACTAGTGGACCTACAGTTGCCACGCAGTGATTTATACAATTGCTTCTATGCAATCATGAATAAGTACATCCCCAGGTATGTTTTATTGCATCAAAATAATCAGATTTTCCGCAGTAAAATTGTAAGCCTAATTGAATAATACTAGGAATACTTTATAGCCTTAGCCCTCATTGTTGGTTTTATTTATTTAGTGCCAATACATTATGCAGATTGATGTATGGTTAGCAAAGGGAATCTTGAAGAAGACCTACTGATATTCTAGAATCTAAGTTTTGAGGCCACTTCTAGCTTATGGTCGTGAAATACTGAAAAGGGTGTGTTGAAGACTGGTTCTGTAGGTAAAGACAGAATAGCTGTGTCAGCCAATGAGTCACTATCAGTATATTAGAATGTCTGCAGAGATTTGTAAAGAAAATAAAATGGGATTGCACACAATCGTAAAAATCACAGGGTGCTAACTGAGCATGGGTCAGCATATCCCATAAGAGAAAGTATAAAATAAAAAAATATCAGGCATCCACTGTGATAGGTTAAGCAGATTTATTGGACCGTGCAACATTTCGTCCTGTACCCGGAGAGATTTCTAATTTGAAGACTTTTGATGAGACATTAGGGTGAGATCTTGGCATACTACTTTTGTGAAAAGCTAGTGTATATATTGACGAAATGTTCTGGTAGACCCGATACAGTGTAACATTACATACGCCTGGTATGTAGTCCCGCACTATTTTGTAATAAAATGGGCAACAGGAGTAGAAATAATTTATGGTAGCATTAACTATATTTACCCAGCACTTAGAATATCCTAGAAAAGTCTGGATTGTTAAAGTTCCCCAATTCACCTGGTTAGGCTGATTCAAGTGAAAAACCCTGATAGGAAAAATAGCTTAAAATTGATTTGAACATAAGACATAAAAGGGTTCAGTCCATGTTAAACTAATAACCATAAGATACTTTACATTCTAGTAAAATAAAAAATTAAAGGGACACTATAGTCACCTGAACAACTTTAGCTTAATGAAGCAGTTTTGGTATATAGAACATGCCCCTGCAGCCTCACTGCTCAATCCTATGCCATTTAGGAGTTAAATCCCTTTGTTTATGAACCCTAGTCACACCTCCCTGCATGTGACTTGCACAGCCTTCCATAAACACTTCCTGTAAAGAGAGCCCTATTTAGGCTTTCTTTATTGCAAGTTCTGTTTAATTAAGATTTTCTTATCCCCTGCTATGTTAATAGCTTGCTAGACCCTGCAAGAGCCTCCTGTATGTGATTAAAGTTCAATTTAGAGATTGAGATACAATTATTTAAGGTAAATTACATCTGTTTGAAAGTGAAACCAGTTTTTTTTCATGCAGGCTCTGTCAATCATAGCAAGGGGAGGTGTGGCAAGGGCTGCATAAACATAAACAAAGCGATTTAACTCCTAAATGACAGTGAATTGAGCAGTGAAATTGCAGGGGAATGATCTATACAATAAAACTGCTTTATTTAGCTAAAGTAATTTAGGTGACTATAGTGTTCCTTTAAACATGATTGTCATGTAAGACTAGGTTACAATATTTAGTTGAGCCCTGCTGAATAAAATTTGTGTTCCAGTCTTGCTTTGGGCGAGCAAGATTTCATTTTTATTACCGTGACTCACAGTGCAAAGTGCATAGTTCATTATCAAAAGCTTATGTTGGAAGACTCAGATTATTTCAGTTTGCTTCTTATAAATGTAGAACTGTTTTCAACTGTCTTGTTCTCACATCAGTCGAGATAGATAGATAGATATATATATATATATATATATATAATCAGCATTATAACCGGGAAAAACCTACACATACAATTTATTACCTTCATGCACTACTTGCCTCCACTCCATTTGTTTTAATAGAAGCTCTGTACAGTTCAGAATATTTAAATAGAATTCATTGTTAGGCAAAAGGAAGCCTCCAGAACGAGAACTCCCATGATGTTTCACAACTTTTTTGGCCTAAAAAAAAAGCTGTGAAATAAAATAAATAAGTTTGCAGTGCAGAGGCTTTGTTGTAAAATATGTTGTAACATGATCTATTTGCTCTCTACCTAAAATTAGAAAGTGTTTTGTTTGGTACATTACTGTATGGCAGAGTGTCCAATGAATTACAGTATATCTGTTGGCACCTTTTATATTGCTTAAAAATGTTTTATTTTCTTTAGGGATTGTTACAAAAAAGGAAAACCTTTTCATTTATTTCGGTTGCTCCTGCAGTACCACGAGCCAGAGCTATGTTCCTTTCTAGACACAAAGAAGATTACTCCTGATCTCTATGCACTAAATTGGGTAACTATGTAGCCAGATTTGTTTCTATGTTTGCCATGTATTTTGTGTGTTTCTTTCTGACTCTCCTGTTATTAATGATATGTCTGTTTCAGTTTGGGAGCCTCTTTGCATATCATTGCCCAGTGGACGTCACGCAAGCTATCTGGGACAGTTACTTACAGCAGGGGGATCCGTTCATTATGTACTTCTTAATGCTGATCATGCTCGTCAATGCCAAGTGAGTGCCTCTAGTAATGCCGTGAGCTGTCAAAAGTAATTTACCGCTCTTTGATCTGTGTCTTTTTCTTCTATTAGGGAAATTCTTCTTGCTCAAGAAACTGATGGCAAAGAAGAATATATAAGTATGTTTGTTCTTTTATTTTTTTCTTCATTACTCATTTATTTTAAAAGGGAGTGAGAGCATAAAATGTATATATTATCAGTTATTAGTGTTTTTTATTTGTAAAGTAGCAGCTTATCTCACAACACTACATCTAATAGCCTCTTATACTACAAAGAAAACTAACTGAATGTTTGTAAAAATACTATAATTTTAATGCAGATTATTTTGTATAACGTCTTCTAATGTAGTCCTGTCATCCCCAGACTGTGCATTACCATAGTATAATATATTAATTGAAGACTGATCACTCACAGAATTAGCTAAAGTATGTTTCTGTGTATTACATTGGAAAGAGAACACAGTGGATGGTTCATTCTCTACCTGAACTCGTTACACATGGCAGGTTTCAATACATCTGTTCTTCTCTTTAGAACTTCTGGAAAGCTCTCCTTCAAATTTGGAAGCAGGGGATATTGAGGATCTATTTCATTTAGCACAGTATTACTACAGCAAGACGCCCGCTTCATTTCGCAAGGTAAGTTACACATCCCTGAAATTTCCTGCTTTACTTGGTATAAGGGAAGGTACGTCAGTTACAGGCTTTCTAATTCCCCATGCCATTTCCTCCAGTTCATCCATACACCCTCACCCTTTCAGAATATTTGTTTACTTAGTGTTTTGCTGGGAAGAATATTTCCAAATTCTTCTTTTTCTTTATAGTTTGTTAGCCCTGGGGCATTCAGTACAAGGTTACACATTTAACATACAGAAAACATTGATAACCATTGGTGATTAATTCAGGTTTGGTTTCACTGAAGATAGAGATCTTCTCAGAGTACACAGTTTTGTGGAACATTTGCTATTTTCCATATGAGAAGGCTGCACTTCCTTGTTGAAACAAGACATGGAAAGTTAGGTCCTGGGAGTGGATCTGATATAAGGGCTTGGACAGGGTAGTGTGCGAACAGGGCCCTGCGTAAAAAATCTTCACAGCGCTCTACTCTGGCCTCATGCCCTCCCGGACCACACCCTCCAATTAATCCTTCTCACCATTTAAAACCTCCTTATTCACCCCACACAAAAAAAGATTTAAAAGCTGTATCAGAATACTAATTTTACATAAGTGCAATATAAATATAGTTATATAGGTGTTTGCAATTAAAATTAGAAAATAAAGATTAATTCACCTTTTTCCAGTGCCTCCCACAATGTCATGGAGGAGACATTGCCTACTGCGCCAATGTCCAATCCAATGCTTTTCACACAGGTGAAGCAAGCGTTGCGCACACAGTAAAATGTTCCCATAGGAACATGCTTTCCTATGGGGCTCCTGCATCACGTGACCAATTTATACTTAGTCAGTGCAGCGGAAGCACCGCCAGTGGCTTTTATACTGCCAGCAACTAGAGGTGGACTTAACTATGCAATTTAAACATTGCAGTTTCTCAAAAACACAGGCCCACTGCACTCAGACCACTTCACCTCAATGGTCTCGATGACAATAGTGTTACTTAAAGTAACATATTTTTTTATTTATATATATAGACCATTTGCTATATATATATATATATATATAGCAAATGGTCTATTTAAGAAAAGGATGCACACCAACACATACTCACTCTCAGTGACACATAAACATAGAACCACTGTCAGATGCACTTATCTACACCCACAATGATGCATACAATCAATAACACAAACACTAACGGGCACTCACTGCCACACAACTCTGACCAATCACTGCCCAAGGAGGGATATTTAAATCCCTAGCTCATTGCCCTGTCGTGGTTTCTGTTCCTGGTTCCAAAGAGTGCGTATTCTTGTCCTTGTTATTGATATTTCCGGTATTCTGACTTTGGCTATTCCTGACTACTCTAATCTCTGGTTTCCCTGACTTGGCTTTCTTGTCGATCTTGTGTGTTTCTGGCTTCCTTGAATTCGGCTTTCCCTTGACCATTCTCTGTCTTTCAACGTATTAATCCGGCCATTCTAAGGACCGTTTTATGTTCTGTCTATTTTTCTATTCTATGTAGATGTTACATAGTTTTGCGTATTGGATCACATTAGTCGTCGTGACACTGAGAGTTGCACTTTATGACACACAGGCATACAACAGTTTACAAATGCATATTTCCACTGTGTGGTTTACAGAGACATTAGTTTGACAGATCCTACAGGATTGTAATGGTTGGAGCCTGGCAGCACTGACAGAGATGGGGCACTAACACAGTTAATAGATATATCAGGTAATAGAGTACTGACATGCAGCAGCCAATAGCTCCATCCTCAGCCATGCTCCCATACCGGATTGGCTGATCTGCAGGGTGTCACACAGCAGCAGGGGAAGGAAGGCTGTGAGGTGCTGGCACTCCTCCGAGGGGAATCTACAGGCAGCACAGAGGCAATGAAAGAGGCCAGTGCTGTAAAATGCAGGCAAGTGACTGTCAGCCAAGGACAGGAGGGAGGGGGCTGGAGGGGAATGCTTACTGGATGAGTAAGCACAGGGGCCTGTCAGCTTCCAGAGTGAATGTCTGCTCCCTTACGGACTCCTCCTCCTTACCTCTGCAGCCACTTACAGCTCTTTTTAAACTGCATTCATCTTATCAGGGAGCTGGGAGTTCAGTGAAGCCAGGAATGTCCGTGATCTGTGTGTTGCTTCAGCATGACTACTGCCCCACGGCTCTCCTCCATATTGTGCAGCAGAGGGAGCAAGGGAAAAATTAACAAGCCCTAGTGACCAAGCATGCGCAAGCTGTGTTGGCTGCCCGGCGCCCCCGTTGCCATAGCACCCTGTGCGGCAGCACAGCTCGCACACCCCAAAGGCCGGCCCTGTGTGGGAATGTATCTATGAAGGGACTTGTTAACCAGGATTGATTAATGTAAGGTATGTCTAAATCTGAGTGTGTGCTGTTTTGATGCTTTTAAAGCAGCTCTGGCGTCTTTGCATATTTGCTGTGTGGTGGCCCAGGGCTGCAGTGCAGGGGAAGATATACTTACTTTGTTGGTGCCGCCATCTTCATTCTTCTGTTCCTAGTGCTTCAGCCGCCAGTAGCTCATGTTGGAACATGCGCAAGAGCACGCACTGATGTCTATTGAGGATCTCGTTAGGCTGCTGGAGTCTGAATGGATTAGTCTCTCGATCAGTGAGACAATGCCCTTGCCCTTTTCCACACAGTCGTTACTAGTGAATCCTGGAGGAATTGACATTGGTAACTCTGCCTTTTGTCAAGCATAGGAAACATCTTTTGACTGCAATGCAATTTCAATGAAATTCAAACAGTCAATGTCAGTATTTCAGAAAATGTTTATCTTTCTAAAATACCAGTTTTGGGGTGGGAGTGACAGAGCCACGTTGACTGGGAATTAGGTAGAATTAGACCGTTCTTGCTAGTAAACTTGCTATTCTATGGGTTTTGAAATGTTTGGAACTTACTTAAGGTGTGTCCCACCGTTGTAATATAGATCGTGTTAACTTTTTTTCCTGTCTAGTCCACTGAATTTCATTTTCCAAGTAAATATTGCTTTTGATTGTTTCTTTCTTTATTTTGTATGTTTTTAGTTTTAGCCATATCTGTAACATATTTAGAGCATAATACTTGATGCAAAATTGTGACTGAAGAACTAGAGGTGAATTGTTAGGAGTCTACATTTCCCTGTATCACTACAAACCGTCTGTGCAGTCGGGGTGGTAGCTAATTACTTTATCTGCAAAAACTGCTTAGATAATTATAAGCTTACCACTTAAAATATGTATTGCAAGTGTAATTTAAGTCATACTATTGGTGTAAGTTTTATATCTTGTAGTATTTGATGTATCTGTATCATTCCCAGTTATGTGAATGTCTCTTCTTCTTTCTAGAATCACAACAGTCTGTTCGGAAGCAGTTTGATAGCTCTCAAAGATGATACAGACCTGAGCCAGGCCCTGTGTTTATCAATTTCTGTATCGGAAATTCTTCAAGCAAATCAGCAGCAAGGGGTGAGTGAGTGATACTCTGTAATGGTTAATGCCAGTGGACAGAAAATAACAAAACGTATCTAGAGGGTGAGAAATGGAATTATCACATATCAAAATAAAAAAATCAATAGAGCATTGAAAAATCTTGCTCCGTGGCCATTTTGCTGAGGGGAAATGTTTGACATGGGTGAATAAATGACACTACTAATGTAACAAATTAACAGGTACCGAGGCACTAATGATAAACATGTGAAATCTTAATGAGTTTTGAATTGTTTTTAGTTTGCGTTGTAGATCATGTTATTTATTTTATGTAAAGATTATTAATTTGCCATTGATGCTGGAGTGTCAGTTGCCATATTGATTCCAGTACTTATTGGTTCCTGTAATTTACACTTCGTTTGTTATGAGATCAATACTGAATGACTTATACAGTGCACTATACTATCTTTAATTTTAAGAGGGTGGACAAAATAATAGAAACCCCTAACAAGCACCTAGTGAGAATCAAGGCCAACCTGTGGTACTGTGCTTAGGAAAAAACAAAACACCACAATCTGGCCAAGTCCCTTTCCTGTTTTTATATATTTTATGTAATTTTCTCTGCAATATATTATCGCTTCTTTATATGAACATCCATGGGATTCTACCAACCCAGATTTATTTAAAGAAATGCAATACGCCTATTTAGGTGGACACTGGAGCTGGAATTCTGTAGTTTTGAAAAATTTTAAAAATTCACATTTTACGTTCCTGCAATCCCTACTCTTTTCAGCTTTAAATGTGAGTTCTTGCCAAATCAAGATGTGAGTGGTCCTTGATTTGAATTTCTGAAGTACTGCTGAGCTTCAAAGGTTTTGTGGAGTTGTAGTTCAATCATTTTTCTTTCTAATGTAATTTTCTAACAACTAAACTACAACCTCAAGAAAACCAAGTCTTGACTTAAAGCTCAGCAGAATTTTTGGAGCAGAAAAGAAAACCTTGCAGGTTGGGAGAGGGGGGCAAAGGAAAAATAATTATCTTAGAAAAAATAAATATCAATGAAGAAGTTATCCAGCACACCTAACTCTAACCTAACCTTATAATTTATGATTTATGATGTAAAACATGTTTCAGGACGGAGTACGGTTCTTTGTGGTGGACTGTCGACCTGCAGAGCAGTACAATTCTGGCCACCTCTCAACAGCCTTTCACTTGGATTCTGACTTGGTATGTATAAGCCATAAATATTTAATTTGTCTTTGTGTAATGTGTTCTTTTCCTTGTTTGTGTTTCAAAGCTTTGCTGTTGTGAAAATGCCTGATTTGATTTTGTGAATCAAGTACTGAAATGTTCGGGAAATGAGGATAAAGTCATAGTTCACTCACTGTGTTGTTTTCATGTTTCTGAAATTTGTAGAATATCGTTTTGACACTTGAAGAGATATTTATAATGTGATACACACTAGTACCGCTGGTCTTATTTCTCATTTACAAATGTATTTTATATATATCATTTTTTTTTTTTTTACATTTTTTTAAACTGTCCGGTGTGTTTTGTTTAATAGATGCTGCAAAACCCAGGGGAATTTGCTCTGTCTGTGAAATCTCTTCTGGAAGCTCAGAAACAGTCCATTGAGTCAGGCTCTGTGGCTGGCGGAGAGCACCTGTGCTTTATGGGCAGTGGTAGGGAAGAGGAAGACATGTACATGAATATGGTCCTGGCTCATTTTTTACAGGTACTTTTGTTCCCCTTTCAGTTTCTTTCAGAAAATGTTCATCGTCCATGATTAAACGTTGTAATGAAAATGACCCAAAAACAAACTGTTTACTGGAAAAATATTATCAGATTAACTCAACATGTGTGTGCCCGTTTTCTTTTTTTTCCTTTTTGGTTTGCTTGCTTGCTTGCTTGCTTATGTTTGTTTTTGTTTTTTTCTTTTGGATTATTTTTTTTTCTTGATCACTTGCCCCTTTCGAGGAATTTATTTTTTCATAAGCAAATGAGACAAGTCAAACATTTTTCTTTACCCTGAATACAAATCTGTGTCCACACAGAAGCTTCTCACACAGTTGAGCATCTTACAGGTTTGCTCACGCTCTACTCTGAATTTCAGACAATTTAATCCAATTTGCAAAATATGGGCTAAAGTACCCAAGCTGAGACTATAGCAGATGTGGAGAGTTTTTCCAAAACAGTTATTGTTTATTTTAGTTAAGTTCAAATGTAATTCTTAGTGAATAACCTCTTAAACGGTGTATTTTTTTCCCCTTTTTGTTAATTTATACTTTAGAATTTCTACATAGTCTTGTATGTTTACAGGATTTTGCTTGCAATATTTTGCCTTCCAGAAAATCGCCTGTTGGACAAGATAGTGACTTTTTTTTCTGTCTTCCTTTTGTCTTTTGTCCACAGCCCGAGTTCCCACAGAGTAGTAATTGAGGGACTGTAAATTAAATACATTTCTCTGTATAGAAAGATGTTTTAAAATAAATGTTGAACTTGTTCAGTTTAATTTTATATCTTTTTTTAACCCCTTCTCATTTTTTCTTTTTTTAAATAGTTTTTTTAATATATATATATATTTTTTTTATGTGCAGAAAAACAAAGAATACGTCTGCATAGCTAAAGGAGGATTCATGGGTGAGTTATTTTTACCTTACAGAATGATCTGGCTATTTGATTTATTAGACAGTTGTATATTTTCCTGAGTGAGTATTCTGTGTGCTTTTGCCTCTAACAAATTGTGGATTCACGGAGTTAATTAAATCAATTACAGCAATACAAATCTCAATAGTAATTCAATATTGGCTGTGCAGTTGCATTACACAGGTAAATTATGATCACTGACCAAATAGTTCCGATTTTATGAATTTACGTGTGCTACATTGTTTATTCTCAAACCTTTTTGGCAGTGCTGCAGCAGCATTTAGCTGACATCAACGTTGATGGCCCAGACAATGGATATGGACACTGGATCATTAGCACAACTGGATCCCGGAGCAGCATGAGTTCTTATGCTGATGTAAGTATTTGATGCTGTATTATCTTTACATTTTGGCTTCACACAGGTCAATTAACAGGAAACTAATTGGAGATCAAACAGGTTAGTTTAAAAACAGTACGCCGTTGTTTTGTTTGTTGCAAATGAAGACACTACAAAGGGAGTCCTTTATGAAGGATAATTCTGTTGGCAAAGTTTGAAAAGTGAAGCAATGTCCATGTGAACTTTTAGAATGTTCATACTAATTGCTGCACAGTTAGCATTTTGTCCAGAACTGCTTCAGCATTTCATTAGAGATGTACACAGCCTTCATCGCAGCCTATCTTTCTCTCATGCTGAGATTCTGTCTATGAACAATTGCTTTCTTTGTGTTTCTGGTCCCACTGACTTGCGTTTCAGGCTGAATGTTCCTGACTGTGCAAAAATAAGTAACACATTAATCTTATTATATGAGCAAAACTTACTTTGTTTTTCATTTTTTAAACAAGAAATTCTTACAGTTAGAATTCAAGCTTTGATTTGTATAAAACAAAAAAAAATGTTTCTCCTTACAGGGTGATTCTTCTAATGGAATGGGAGATGGGAAAGGGGTGAAGTCCCTTGTAAATAAAATGACAGTGGCTTTAAAAACAAAGTCTGTCAATGTGAAAGAAAAAGTAATCAGTTTCATCGAGAACACATCCACGCCAGTAGAAAGGTTGGTACCATATTGATCAAGGCTACTCTTCTACCATGCATCTTCACTTTCTAAATTTTATAAACCCTGCATGACAAAATTTAGCTAAGCTAATGTAACCATAGTGCAAAGGTAATTGCAAAATACTGGATGTTATTTTAGGGGGGACTTGAGTGGGAGAATGGGATTATTTTTCCCGTGTTCTTTTAGTAAGTAATGGAGAAGCAATTATTGTGGGAATGACTCAATTGCAGTGGGAAAGAGAAACTAATGCATATCATTCACTTCCTCTAAAAAAAAATGGACTATTTATTTGGAATATAGCGATGTGATCAACCATGCGGCTATCATACAGAGCATTGAATCGAAAGAGCGAATTACAAAAGTATTGCTTGTATCTTTTTAAGCGGTTGTGGGACAGTGACTGCATTTGTCAACCAATACATGCATTCGCAGTGCTCTGTGTTTGGAGAATACATAGTAAAACACATTGTGCTGGAAGACGACCTGCCACGCATAAAGCATATAGATAAGAAGTCACCTTTAAAATGGTATATTTTCCTCTACACGTTGTCCTGATAAAGATTGGCAACAAACATATGTCTGAAAAAACAAAATGTGCTTTGCTGACTTATTTCCTCCTCCGGCCCAGATAGATTTACTTGTGTATAGGGCATTTGCCTGCAAATCAATATTTATAATAAATAATAAAAAAATAAAAGTAATAAAATCCAATCTATCCTTTTTAAATAAAAAAAAAATAAAGAATGCCTTCTTCCAGAAATTTGGCTAAACTGTATGTAGATGGGAGTTTTTTGTTTTCATGACCTCCATGTATTTTGGTTTTGTTAAACAATTCTATGATAGCAAGAATTATCAAAAAAAGATACTGTATGTATTTGGCAATCGGCAATTATTATTTGGAGTACACAGTGTTCTAAGGACATACATTATCTTTTATGACTATTTGTTTAGTTTCTCTCTATTTTTACATTGACTTTTAGTTCATTTTTTAAATGTAACATTTTGTGTAAATAGATATTCTGTATGAATATAACAAGTAGTTAAAGTCACATAAGGGTAATTTCAGCCTCTTCTTTCAAGATGGGAAAAAAAATGTTCATGGTACTTGACTTTTCCATAATAATGTTGGTGGCAGAGATCTCATTTTCCAGCCTGCCTCGTTATGGCAAGATCACAATAGGGTATTGCAAAGGACACATTTAACAAAGGTGTTTGATGCCTGTGCTGTTTTTTTTTTTTTTTTTTTAAACCAGTCGCTGCTTTGAATTGAGCTGTGTTGAAATGTCAGCTGGTGTCTCACAAAGGTTTCATGTAACCCTTTCTGGTTTGTGTTCTGTGCCCCAATTTGCAATAGAATCTCTTTCAATCTTCCATGGCCAGAGAGGGCGAGTTTGGAGCGGTAAGGCCTCAGTAGTGAGCTGTGATCCCACCACCTCTGTACCTGAGCACAACGTCTCACTGTATGCAAGCACGAATTACACTGACATCCTATGCAAGCCATGCTTCTACCTCTAGACTAATTAGAATATGAAGGTTAAACCTCTTTACTCAACTAACTCTGGCAAGGTTGCCTGGTTAATCGTCAAACATCCAGTTCTTACATTTGACTTTAATAACTGGGAATGCATTTTAATATTTTTTCATAGAGACAGAACCTTATGAAGGTCTCTCTGACAATCACTTACCAAGTGTTTCTACTAATAATTTTGCAAACAATCCAGAATCTGATCCTTATACTGTAATCCAATATGGTTGCTGTGGCCTGTCAGTGTAATTAATGCTTTTGTCATTAGTTTTCAATAGTTGGATGCACACCTCTACTACACCTTGACTTTAGCATTCTCCTGACTGCACTTGAACACTAACATTGTCTTCCATCTACAGCTAATCCACTTCTTGTCCATAACATTTCAGTCTTGAATATTTCAGTGCTTATACTAAGCAGCAGAATTTTGGTTTTAAGGTTGTTGTTTTTTTTTAAACTCTAAATTCAGAATATATTCCATAACACGCTGTAGTGAATATGCCAGTGTTTGACTTGATTGGCTGTTCATTGGACAGACAGAAGCAAAACCAAACCCACATTACAATGATGAAAATAGTGAGAATAGTCTCAACATGTGTTCCTTTATAGGATGTGGATTCCCTCTTTTTAGTTCCTGTAACCATGTATGTTCTTGTCTGGTCACTCATCAAGCAGTGATCCCTTCCATTGCATGTGATTGCACGATTGCTAACATTGCAGTTCAGGGGATTGATGCTTCGTGATCATTAAAGGACCACTATAGGCACCCAGACCACTTCAGCTTAATGAAGTGGTCTGGGTGTCAGGTCCAGCTAGGTTTAACCCTTTTTTTGTAAACGTAGCAATTTACAGCTGGAAAGGAGGTAAGCGATTAACCCCTTCCTCCCCCCTCAGCGCCACGGGAGTGTGACCCTGAGGGTGGGGGCACCCTCAAGGCACTATAGTGCCAGGAAAACAAGTATGTTTTCCTGGCACTATAGTGGTCCTTTAAGGAAAAATGGTTCCATTGTTCATTACTGTTTTATTTCTTAAAATATGCCAACAGAGTCTGTAGTGATAAGCAACATAATAATGCAGGCTAAGTGGGTGCTTTTCAAAATTGATGAAAACTGGCATAAATAAATCAGGACACATTACCAGGGGATAAATAAACATAAGTTGTAATTTGGTAATATTTCTTTACTCTATAAAGTGCAACAAAACCATTTTCTTGAAGTTTTATGAGCAATTAAAAGTATGAACTGTTTTATTATGTAGAATGAATTTATTATATGCAAGGGGATTACAATGATTGTACTTATTTATAACTTGACTTTACGGATACAAGTAAAAAGAATTAGACACCCATCTATCATAGTTATAAGCCATCAGTAACATTTCTAAAGTTGTGTCCTGATTTTATGTCTTATTTTTACAGAATTGAGGCAGTCACCCATATAGCAATACCTGACTCTTTAACAACAGATAAATTATACCTGCTATCAATTGGTCAGATACAGATAATACGTGGATAACTATTGTCAATGGATTGAAAATGAATTGCCCATATTGATTTCTGATAACATATAAAGTTAATTATCTTGTCTAAACTTGTATAGAATAAACAAAACAAAGCACACGCAGTTCTTCGAATTTTATTTGGGATGCCACCGTAAATACTTACCAAAAGTGAAATTAGAGGGAATTAGTAATACTCCTTTCTCCTCCATCAATGATCAGACAATCACAGGAAGGAGAGAGAATTAAATCAAATGTTAAATATTCCCAACCATGGAAATCAGAGGGAAATCTGCCCCTACCGTAAATTCTGTATTACCAATGCGGATGAGAAGAGGGCAGTCTCTGGGTGTCGTGTTAGAAATCACATTTTCGGTTAAGCTGCTCTGAATGTACCTGGTACAGCTCTCAGAGACTTGAATCGACCCTTTTGGTGCCCCTATTATTTGTATTAATTGTGGCCAGAAAGACCATAGATTAATGAAAAACATTGGTACGTGTGCCCGTCTTCATGGGAGCAGTAGATTTGTATGTGAGCCAAACATTTACAGATTTATCTGCTAAATGCATTGGCCATGTAGATCTGAATGTTTGTATGGACTGTGCTTCTCGCCATATATGCAATATTCATATGGGTATACATGCATACATGAATTTGCGTTAAAGGGCCTTTTACAGTGAATGTTTTTTACATCTCTATGCAGTAAACATAAGACTTTGTCCATCTCACTGCTTACTTTCAACTGCTGTGTTAATGGTAAAACCGCAATGTTATCCTTTTAACATCTAGTTGTCAGCCTAATGTTTCCTGGATGCCATGCTTCACTTACAGCACTGCCTAATTTTGCTTGCACTTTTGGTAATAAATGCTGTACTTTTGGGAGCGCACAGAAAACCCAAACCTGAACAGGCGGAAAAAAAGATTAAAAAAAAAAATACTTATATAAAATTTTACCAACAGGCACATAAGCAGCAGTGATCGACTTGGAAAGCCGTATCGTGGTGTAAAACCTGTATTCAGCATTGGTGATGAAGAGGAATATGACACGGGTACGGCTATAAATATCTTGTTTGAGAATGCTGATATATTCACTAAAATCAAACTGTTTACTGACAGTCACTTGTGTAACCGACGTGTGAATAATTGTTTGAAGTCAAGCAGCGGTAATGTATTAATATTGGACCGTACTTGTTAGGCGTCCAGTCTGCCTTTTCAAATCTTTAATATGTATATGAGGTGACTCTATTGCATGTGTACATTAAGGAAAAGCTTAAACTATATTGAGTTTAGAAATGTTTTTGTTTAATTCATAAGTTCATGCACAAAGCATGAATGGAACAAACCAAAGTTATATGCCACACTTACAATGTATACATTGTGCTTCTATACAGTGTTTATGCAGTTGTGCTTGCAGAACATAAATAGATACACTTTTTAAAAAAAAGTTTTTTATTTTATTTAACGCACCATTCACAAATGAAATCTATAGCATGAAACAAAAAAAAGTCACTTGGCTGGTTTCAAACACCTTCCTTTTCATATGGAAGGTCAGTAAGGGTTAAATAAAATCAATCACGTAAACTGATGTGCAACGTAAAATAAATAAATATATATATATATTTAACTAATCAATGGTAGTGTGTGCAATGTTTTGTGAACTGCATATGTGGCATTTAATCCTTTAAATTTCTAAACATATGCCAGCGTATTGTAACTCACACTTCCAATCATGTTTAAACCAGCCTATTTCTCTGAGACTTTACTGGCTGGTCTTCTTGCATAGCTTTAAAAGTACCATGCAGCAAAATATAAACATACATATATACAGTACTGAGAGATATCTTTAAATGCCAATGCCAGTGCTAAATACAAAAACTGTATTTGTGCAAAGTTTGTCTCCTGCTGTAACTTGATTCAAATTGGCCTCTTTGCCATCCTTTTCAGATGAAATTGACAGCTCCTCCATGTCGGATGATGATCGCAAAGAAATTGTTAACATCCAAACCTGGATAAACAAACCTGACATCAAACATCATTTTCCATGTAACGAGGTGAAGGAAAATGGTCACATGTTTCCCAGGTAAGTGTATCAGTGTAAAAATGTATGTTAAAGGAACACTTTGGGCACCTTAATCTGAATTAAACTTAAGTTGTTCCGTATGCTATAATTATTCTGCTTCTATGATGACAGTGTGAAACCTTGTCTGTTTACATATGGTGAGCATGAAGTTACTTCCTCCTGCCGAGCTCACATTTATAGCTTTAATATGAAAAAAATGTCTTTAGATTTATTTCAAGCACGGGTACTCATTGAAATAAAAATATCAAACATATTTCCCAAATACATTAGCTGCTGTTAGAGTTTAGTGCTAATTTATGTGAAACCTAAACAGGAAATTGATTTCACATTTGTCCAGTGTCATTTTGGTTGCTTTCTATATAACTGACTACATCTGGACATAAAGTAGAGAAATAGACATTGTATAGATAAATAGCTAATCAATAATATTAATGGGCCATTTTCCATTAACTAGATTAGAACAATCCAAATCAGTCATAGAGGACAATAAATTCAGATTTGATCCCCAATACTATTGAAATCGAACTAGATGAACTATGCTGACTTTGCCCACACTCACTGTATTTAATTATAATCATTATTTGCCTACCTATCCCTATGGGCAACTTCATTATCAGTATTACCGGTGATTATCGACCGATACTTACAAAAAATCAGAATATTCGCAAAACCGATAATCAGTCGATCCCTGCTAAGCAGCATTGTCCAATAATGTCTGCTGTGGAATGGGATTGCAAGTCTACAGACTGATGCTATACTGACAGCAAAAATCATGTTTTATGTGAAAGTATGGGCACTTCCCTACTTGTTTTTCATATGCATATAATTCCTTTATATAAGTTTGGCTACCAGCACTATTTTCTTCATTCTCTATAGTTACTAGATTATTTACAGATCTGTTCTTGTATTGAAAAATTACATGTGGTTAAATGTGCAATAAAATGTACCTCTCCAAGTAATGTGTGCATGATCCATCCAAATTTCTGTGTTTCAATTTATTTTTTCTTTATCTTTAGTCAGGTGAGTGACATGGTGTTTTATCAGTGTACTAAAACAGTTCCGAAGCATTCATTTTCCTCTCTATTTAAATGTGCATGTTTTTGCAATGTTCGTGTGCAGACTCAATCTTTTTGTTGTGTCTTTAATAGCCACCTCCTGGTAACTGCAACCCACATGTATTGTCTGCGAGAAATTCAGTCTAGAAAAGGATTTGCCTATATACAGTCTCGGCAAGCATTAAGCTCTGTTGTGAAGATTACATCAAAAAAGAAACATCCAGAACTTATCACCTTTAAATATGGAAACAGCAGTTCCTCTGGTGTTGAAATATTAGCTGTGGAAAGGTAAGATCAGTCATCCTGAGCGAGGGACATATGTCTTTTAAAGGATTTACAATGAACCATTGCTGTGGAAAGGCTACTTAAACCTCTAAAACTAAGCTAATCATACTCCTTTCACATATTTATATTTTTTGTTCAATGTTAGCCATACTTATATCCATTTTTTATATTTAGAATTTGTGTTCAATAATATCTTTTCTCAGTTTTACTATTTATTTTATTATTACTACTAAATTTGGGTTATTAAAACAAACCATTCTCCTCTCTTCCAAGGTACTTAATCCCAAACGCAGGAGATGCTACCAAAGCCATAAAACAGCAAATCATTAAAGTCCTCGATGCCTTAGAAAGCTAACAACACGATCTTTGGTATATTTCAAATGAATGCCGACTGCAGGAAAAGAGAACTTTGCTGGTGGGGTGATACAATAGTTTGACTTATTTAATTTTCCTGGGGTTCTATTTCATACCACTCCTTTTGCATAAGTTTTTTGTATATTAATTTTGAGACAAGCATCATTATATCTGACTTGACTGTTAGAATATAAAATTCATACAGGAGGTATTTAACTAAATTCTAAAAAAAAACAAATGTAAGATAAATGATGCAGTTTTTAAAAAATATCAGCAGAAACCTGTGTTATTATATTCCAGATGCTTGGATTAAAAAGGAGGGGGAGCAGCTGTGAATTTGGATTTACAGTTTGCAAGTCTGCAATGTGAAGCACAGGAAACGTTTCTTGAAAGGATTCAGGGATCTGTCAAAATGGAGCTCTGATGAGAGCCTACAGAAAGATTTCCTGTTTAATTTAAACCAAATCTCTAGTACCTGCGCTGTACTAAACAAGTGGTATTTCTAATTCAGTTTACGACCAACTAGCTGCTATGGTAATGTAATTGCCATTATTAATTTGATTACAGATTTTAAGACCTTCAATAGCTGATGACGTACATGGGATGATAATTTACCAGGTGAATATTAACGGCTTGCACACTTCCAGAGGTTGATTGACGTAAGGCCAATTTCCACCTGCCTAGTTGACTAGGAAAAAGCATTGCAGTTTAGAGATTATGCCTTGGGCTTGGATGGTACTTGCCCCAGGAATTGAATGCAGAGTAAGGTTTCCACAACAGGGCTATTAAAGACTTTCTGCTCCATAGGGCCTTCTTTAGTTTCTGAGTATGAATGACCCAGTCACATTAAGCTGGCTAGGTAAGGCCCTGATAACTGGTGTCTTTTTATTGATGACTTTATCACTACGGCTAATGTACCTAAACAGTAACACTCCCTTAGTCTTAAACATAAAGCAGCTTAAGTTGGCTTACCCTTTTCTATGAACACAGTATTTTTTTTCCTTCTGCTAAATACTGCACTAAATAAATCGTTTTTTATAATTTTCAGATGTATAAAGCTGTATACAGGGAAAAAAAATGTTTCTTTAATATTATGCCACTTTGAGGTGAATAAAACCCATATGTGCAATGTGTTATCGGACAGCCCCAGAGGAGATTGGGCTGAACTTTCACTGCCAGAAATCCTGCATTGTGTGAAATTAAGAAATATTGGGCATGGGGGAATGTTTATTAAGCACACAAGGCCAGATTGAACCTTACATGCATTTAATTTTTACCGATTAAAACTATATAAATAAATAACAAAATCCCAGGTACCGTGGGATAATGCAGAGATGTCAATGAAGAAAATAGGCCTCATTAAAATTCTAATGCTAATTCGTAGTTTGAATTTGTGATATTAACTTGTACATTGCATTAAACAGAATAATCCACAATTGGTAAATAAAACATTAGTAAAATCATTTTAAGTGTAAGACACAATATTGTCTTGTTCCTTTTATGCATTCCTTCCTTATTTTACTTGATTATATACAGTATAAATGCAACATTTTATATCTGTCACAGGAAATATAAGTATTTTGTTATTTATTATTCAATGGTGTTTTTTTTTTTTTGTAAATCATATTTTATTTTTTTATGTAGCATTTAACATACAACAGATGTTAAAGCTCTGTCCAAAAGTTATTTAATCTCCCAAATCCAGTCCTCAAGAAAAGTTGCAAGATAAAATGCTTATCAAAATAGACTGGTTTAGCAAGAAACAATATGTTACACTGTGTAAAAAGGGATATAAAAAAGGAGATTGAAAACGTGCCACTGATTTTTCTATCCGACTTTGCTCGGTGTATTAGCACACTTTAAGAATTCGTAAGAAGGTCAACCCTGGGAACACTCTGCATATGAATACCCAAAAATAAAGTCCTCCATGTTGCGCAGCTTCTCCGTATATTCAAAGCACCATAGCCACTGCCAGTTATGCTCTTCAATATTTACATCCTAACATTAACATGCCAAGACTAAGCACCTAATCCAGTTCAGCTGACTGAAGTAAACATGGTTCTTAGATCATACACATACAGTTTACCGCAAAATTAATTTGTCATTTGATGTTAAACCACTTTCAGGGCTATCTACTAAAGTGGAAATTTAAATTTACTTTGAATTTTCAACAATTATCACTTTAGTAAATAACCCTGCTTATTGGCAGCCTTAGCCACGTCTCTCCGGACTGTTACTCAAACAGTCTTCTTACACACATCCTGAAAAATGTTTACATTTTCATCTTCTGATCTAATACCAGCAAGTATCAGGATCTGCTCTGCTCTGTTGTCTCACTTGGCTTCTGGTATCCAGTACTCTTTTTACAATTCTTGTTTAGTTTTTCTTGGTTTTCTATTCTATGTCTGGTTTTCTTGATTCATTCTTATATTTCGTCCTTGGATTCATTTAAATGTTTGTTTTATTTGCCACACCCGTTTGTTTTCCATCATTCCTTTTTGTTTCAGTGTCCTGCAGGCAGCTGCTCAAGGCTTCTGCCCTTTCTTGCAGGTAAGTGCTATTGTTGTTTAGTATGGTTCTTTTAGTGAACATTAGGCCGAGTAGGACCTGCCGAATATGGGGTACATTAGCTTGGTGGGAGGCTTATGCAATGTATGATCATATAATGTAACTAAATCCCCATACTTTTACTATATAGTGCTTAGTTATGTTTCCTCTTGTCTTGTTTCATTTTGTAATCCCAGTCCATGTACAGTCCTGTCCTGCTCCTTTTTAGTTAATGTTCCCTTATGTATTGTGTACATATTCTGGGTTTAGCTTCCTATCCTTCTCCGGTTCTGGGTTCTATTAGTTCTGTCTTGTTTTCTTGTTTGGTGTCTATCCAAGCATTATCTTGTTTCTAGTACTGGATACATCTCAGCATATGTCTGCTCTGGCTTCCATTAAGCTGCTGCAGGGTCTCTGTTTGTGGCCGCACAAATGCTGGTGCTCAACACCAGGGGGCGTGCGGTTACCCAGCACCAGGCCCTGATAATCCTTTTCCACACTGAAGACTCCCATCTTCTCATCAGGCACTCAGGGGTCCCGGTTTCCGTACCGCCACCCGTGACAGCAAGTCGCACTGCCAGCAGCCCCGTGTGTGAATTTAAAGTTCTCACACAAAGCTTCAAAAGAAACAAGCAACCTAGAAGCACATTTTGCAATCTATTCCAGCAGTATTTTCATTTTATTCATTCAGATCCACACACGTATGTAATCTAAGAGTCAATCATACACAATTCAGCCAGAGGCACACAGATACATACCAAGATGCATTCACACATAAATAGGTGGTAGGTTATGGCAGCTCTCACATGCTACTTGGAATGGCCTGCCACTGCTCTTGCCCATGCTTCTCATATGGACTGCCATCAACGATTTATGGATGCTGCTGCAAAACACTTACTTTTTCTTATTATTCCCTCTTGCAAGGAAATGAGATCATGATAAAGCAAGAATACTGTACAGCACCATTCACATAAGTAGCAGCATGGTTTGCGCCCTCAAATATAAGGATTTTGCAAGCGCGGGGGTAACACTTGCCACAACGCAACTATTGCACAATATAATGCATGTTCTCATTGGCTCTAATTTGTCTCATGTATATAATAAATGTATACAAAAAAGAGCATATATGTAATTATATAAAATTAGTGAGTACACCATACAACCTGTGTGAAATATAAATATACGCAGAATAAAGTGGACGGCTTCTCCTTTGACTTTTCCCACAATCCCGTAAACAATGTAGATAAAAAGCTAATTAAAAAAATTCCTTAAAGATTAACTCTATTTTGACTGCATTGTAATTTGAAATTAATTACAAAGCAGCTGAAAAGAGCGTTACATCAATCTCTTGTAAAAAGCTACAAAAATTACAGTGCTATTTTGCAGTTTCCCACGCGTGCAGAAACTCCAGCCATGCACATGTGCAATCTGCATTAGGAAAATCTGGACTTTTACTTATTTGGGAAGTCAATAGATGTGATGTTTTTTTTGGTGTCACTTTATTTAAAATTAATGTATTTTAATGAATAAAAACTATTTGAAACCATCAATAAAGGTGCTTTATTGATGGGGAGGTAGCCACTTTCTTGTCCCTGCAGTATTTTCTGTAAATGGTGGACCATTCAGTTAACACTTACATTGTCATTACCCGAAAGGGAATAATCAAACTTTTAAAGGGAATTTAACATTTTTGGACCGAAATAGTTGTATTAAAACAGAGACATTTCCCAGCTAAGTTAATGTGGCCAGAAATTGGAAAAATCCATTTGAATTCATAACAATTTACACTTCAGTTAATAGTTGTCTTTCTATACAGGGAATATAAAAATGGAATGCCATCCATCTTGGAGGTGTCCCTTTAAATGATGGTTATTATGAACAAAGCAGCTCAATGTATGTGTGCAGCAGGTCAGCCAGTTTATTGGCAGTAGGAGGCCTATGGAGGCTGGTTTTGGAGCTCATTGGTTTCCTTGGTGGGATGAATCAGAGAACATGGTGTATCTCCCCCCGCCAGGCACCAGCTGGCTGTTCTCATACGTTACATAATTAAACATAGCGGCAACCAGGGAGTCCAGTAACGCGGTGATCCTGGAAATCGGCAAGGGCGAGCGCCTGACCCTGCCCACCACGTGGTACACGAAATAGGGATTCCCGCGCCGCCTCCTCCATCCGCGCCGCGTGGAGCTGAGATTTGGAGCTCGACTTCCGGCGCCGCGATATGACGTTACCGGTCTTGCCATATTCTCCGCCTCCGCGCTGCCCGTCTATAGTGAGAGTGGGCGGGTCAGTCTCTGTGTGATGGAGGAGGGCGGTGCCAGTCTCTGTGTGATTGAGGAGGGCGGGGCCAGTCGTGGAGGGGGCGTGGTCATGTTGTGCGGTAAGGAGGGCGGGGTCATGCTCTGTGATTGGAAGTACAGGACATACAAGTAACCGCCCACCTGCAGCGTCAGAGCATGTGACGTCATCCGTCTATGCCGTTCACAGGCTGTTCTATGGTCAACAATAAACTAATGTGCTATATTATTACTGTATTATCACTATGTTATTACTGTATTATCACTATATTATCACTATATTATTATTACAGTCTCTCTCTGTGTCTCTTTGTCCCCCCCAGCCTCTCTCTGTGTCTCTTTGTCCCCCCCAGCCTCTCTCTGTGTCGCTTTGTCCCCCCCAGCCTCTCTCTGTGTCGCTTTGTCCCCCCAGCCTCTCTCTCTGTCTCTTTGTCCCCCAACCTCTCTCTGTGTCTCTGTCCCCCCAGCCTCTCTCTGTGTCTCCTGTCCCCAGCCTCTCTCTGTGTCTCTGTCCCCAGCCTCTCTCTGTGTCTTGTTCCCCCCCAGCCTCTGTCTGTCTCTTTGTCCCCCCAGCCTCTCTCTGTGTCTTTGTCCCCAGCCTGTCTCTTTGTCCCCAGCCTCTCTGTGTCTCTTTGTCCCCAGCCTCTCTCTGTGTCTCTTTGTCCCCCAGCCTCTCTCTGTGTCTCCTTGTCTCCCCAGCCTCTTTGTGTGTCTCTTTGTCCCCCAGCCTCTCTCTGTGTCTCTTTGTCCTCCAAGCCTCTCTCTGTGTCTCTATGCCCCCCCCCAACCTCTCTCTGTGTCTCTTTGTCCCCCCAGCCTCTCTCTGTGTCTCTTTGTCCCTACCCAGCCTCTCTCTGTGTCTCTTTGTCCCCCCAGCCTCTCTCTGTGCCTTTTTGTCCCCAGCCTCTCTCTGTGTATCTTTGTGGCCTCTCTCTGTGTCTATTTGTCCCCCCCAGCCTCTCTCTGTGTCCCAGCCTCTCTCTGTGTCTATTTGTCCCCCAGCCTCTCTCTGTGTCTATTGGTCCCCCCCCAGCCTCTCTGTGTGTCTCTTTGTCCCCAAAGCCCCTACGTGTCACGTTGTCCCCCCCAGCCACTCTGTGTGTTTCTTTGTCCATCACCGTCCCCTTAGTGTGCCTCTTTGTTCTCCCAGGTCCTCTGTGTCTCTCTTTGTCATCGTCCCTGTCCCTTCAGTGTGCCTCTTTGTTCCCCCCTCCCCGCCCCATCACCAGCCTCTCTATGTGTTTATTTGTCATCATCCCCATCCCTTCAGTAAGCCTCTTTTCCCCCCAGCCCTTCTGTGTGCATCTTTGTCCCCACCAGCCTCTCCGTTTGTCTCTTTGCTCAACTCTCCCTTCAGTGTGCCTCTTTGTCCCCCGGTGGAGGTTTTTCTGTTTCCATAAACAGAAAGGCAGGTAGACGGGTAGTTTGTTGCTCCCATTGTGCACGTCCTGTCAGACCGGGTAGAGGATACAGAAGATCCTCTATCCACTGTCCATATCGGCCATGCTACATGCAGTAACTGGTAGGAGGGGGAGCACTATGCGTTCCCCTCCTGCCTGTCACCCAGAGACTGTGCACCCTGGGCTGGTGCGCACCTACTGTACACACAGAGATCAGTTAGTACTATGAGTATTACTGTACACACAAAGATCAGCTAGTATTATGAGTATTAGGGTATACACAAAGATCAGCTAGTACTATAAGTAGTATTATTGTATACACAAAGATCAGCTAGTATTATGGGTATTACTGTACACACAGAGATCAGCTAGTATTATGAGTATTACTGTACACACAAAGATCAGCTAGTACTACGAGGATTACTGTACACACAGATCAGCTAGTATTATGGGTATTACTGTACACACAAAGATCAGCTAGTATTATGAGTATTACTGTACACACAAAGATCAGCTAGTATTATGGGTATTACTGTACACACAGAGATCAGCTAGTAATGTGGGTATTACTGTACACACAGGGATCAGCTAGTACTATGGGTATTACTGTACACACAGATATCAGCTAGTAATGTGGGTATTACTGTACACACAGAGATCAGCTAGTATTATGGGTATTACTGTACACACAGAGATCAGCTAGTATGGGTATTACTGTACACACAGAGATCAGCTAGTAATGTGGGTATTACTGTACACACAGAGATCAGCTAGTACTATGGGTATTACTGTACACACAGATATCAGCTAGTAATGTGGGTATTACTGTACACACAGAGATCAGCTAGTATTATGGGTATTACTGTACACACAGAGATCAGCTAGTAATGTGGGTATTACTGTACACACAGAGATCAGCTAGTAATGTGGGTATTACTGTACACACAAAGATCAGCTAGTACTATGAGTATAATGAGTATTACTGTACACTCAGAGATAAGTACCATGAGTATTATTGTGCACACAGAGATTAGCTTATACTATGAGTATTATTGTACACACAGAGATCAGCTAGTATTGTGGGTATTACTGTACACACAGAGATCAGTTAGTACTATGAGTATTATTGCACACACAGAGATCAGCTAGTAATGTGGGTATTACTGTACACACAGAGATCAGTTAGTACTATGAGTATTACTGTACACACAGAGATCAGCTAGTATTATGAGTATTACGAGTATTACTGTACACTCAGAGATAAGTACTATGAGTATTATTGTGCACACAGAGATCAGCTAGTACTATGAGTATTATTGTAAACAGTACTACTGGTAATGCTGTACACACAGAGTTCGGTACTATGGGTATTACTGTATTCATAGGTCAGTTAATATAATGGGCATTACTATATACTTAGAAGTAATTTAGTACGATTGGTATTATTGTACTCACAGAGATCAGGTAGTATTATGGGCATTATTGTATACTTAGAGGTCATATAGTACGATTGGTATTACTGTACACACAGTGTACTGTATGCACAGTAATATCCACAATATTAGCTGACCTCTAACATATTAAAAAGTGTTGGGTGGGGGCCCTAATTATATTACTAGTATACCTAGTGTGTGGGGGCTCTTATTATATAACGAGTTGGACATGCTATCGTTAAGCCCCCATGCTCATATAATGGCATGCCAATCCCTGCCAGGTGGCTATGGGTCCCCTATCCCTGAGCCACCCCCATAAATAACTAAATGTACCTAGCGTGGGCAGAGCCTGACCTAGCGCCAAGGGACATCGACCCTGGATTCAGGTAAGTGACTGAAGGGGTTTTAACCCTTTCAGCGACATGGGATGAGAGCGGCACTCCAGGATTCTACAGTGCCAGGAAAACAGGTTTGGTTTCCTGGTACTGTAAGCCAACCAATCAGAGTGCTCTGACAGCCAAATCGTAATAATGCTCTGTCATAAAATTAGGTCCTCCTCTCTTTAATATTAATATTATAATTGCCCCCACCCGCTGATCATGGGGTGAAGGGGCCTAAGGATGGTCCCACACCCTTTATTTTTATGACATATCCCCACCCACTGGTCACAGTAATCTGTCCACCTCCCATTACTCATTTAAAAGTCCTCAATGCCCAAAATGTTTGTTTGTGAGGACTGAAGAAAAATAAAAATTAGCTGAAGAAGCTGACGCAGCTTTATCTGAAAACGGAGTGCCTTCATCTTGGCTTCCTGTCAATTGTTGCAAGCTCTCACATCGACCATAGTATGTGGAAGTGAAGAAACAGAAACAATGGGAGTCATGTTCAGAGAGTGTTGCTTATCTATTCGCTCCTGTTTTATGTCTCGTTTTTATTTCGCAACATTTTTTTTAATGCCAAAATGTTCCTCTTTGTGTAACTGAACATAATTAGTGGCGCTGTCCATGTATAAAAAGAGGCTCCATTCTACAATGCAATGTGTGCCATGGATGTGCCAGGACTGAGCTAGATTTTGATGTCAATGGCTAATTTTTTTAAAGGAGCACTCCAGCGTCCAAAAATATTGCTTTCCTTTTTCTCTAATGTCAAGCCCTTGCTCACTGCTGATCCACTCCACCCCAGGGAGACTGTCAGTGACACAGTCTTTTTTTTTACAAGACAAAATTGAGGCAGACGTTTACGCAGAGTGAACCATGAAGCCTTCCTGTCAGTCAGCTCCTAAATTAATTCATCGGAGTGTCATTTTTATCTTGAAAATGGCGATTTTATGAATTGGGACATAGGGGACATAAAGTGCTGAAGTGCTTTAGTGGGCCCTTTTTTTTATTATTTAAATGAAAATGAGACATCACGTGAAAAGCTGGTTAACGCAACTTAAAACTTATCAAAGTAACTTATTCAATAAAAACAGTGATAGCTGCCCTTTAAAGTTGGAAAACACTCAAAAATAATGAAAATTCAATATTTATTGTTCATTTTGTAAGTATAAGGTCCCCAGACTCATTTTTAAACATTTCAATCAATAAAACCATGCATAAAATCCACATAAATCAAGTGCTTCTGTTATTACTCTTGTCCAGGTTTAGTGCATGGAATGTGCTATAAACTACATTTCCCTACACCCTCTGCTGGTAGAGAGAGGGCTGAACTTCCTGCCTGAGTTACATGTTAGTGCTCTGTAGAGCAGGTCACAGAATGCAAGCAGTCAGAGCCATGACAAGTAGGTCACATTATTTATGTTCATGTGTTACTCCTGTTCAAGCTATTTGTAATAAGTGTGATATATGCATTTGCTTTGCATTTCACCTTATCTTCAGTCTATTTTAATATTATTTGCAGGACCTCTAGCAAGCACACACCACTAGCAAAGTGTATGTAGTCAGATAGTTATAAACATAAAGTAAACTAAACAATTCAGGGTGGGAATTGTGTATTGCATAGATAATCTCTATATATTTCAGTGTGTTCCTTTATATTAGATTAACCCCTTAAGGATACAGCTTCAGAAAGAAAAGGCTGGCATGATTAAACATTTCCATCATGTGTCCTTATGGGGGTTAATGAATACCTTCAAACCAATGATTGGCAGACTCCTGCAGCCTTATATTCCTGGTGACGTTAGTCTAATCGGATGCTTCTCTGAGAAGACCTGGCACAGCTGGTACAATCTGCCAACCCAGTGCTTTTCCATGGAAAGCATGAGAGCTTGTGGTTCTCACAGAGAAGCATTGGGGACACACAATATCCAGCATCAGTGTTCTTTGCATGCTGGTTAAAAAAATTAACTAATCATTTGTGTTGGAAGCCCCTAGTAGGTTTAGAAATTGCAGAATTTAATCAGTGTAGTTTCTCACAAAATAATCATGCTGTGCCTGACGACACTGATAGTGAAGGTGTTAAATAATTTTATAATCTTCAATATGGAAGCATCTCTAGTGCGGTCAGACTGACAGTCACTGGAGACTTTTTCATGGCTTAATGTAAACATTGCCATTTCTCTGATGCTCTACATTGAGACAATGCAAGATTAAAGGGAAACTGTGGTGCCAGAAAAAACAAAGTTGTTTTCCTGGCACTATAGCTCCCTATAGTGCCCCCCAATGTCAAGCCCCTCTTCCCCCGTGCTGGTGGGGGGAGACCTAATGCGCATGGAAAGTTCCGTGCTCACAATAATACTTCCCCTGTAGGAAAGCATTAGACCATGCTTTCCTATGGGGTTTCCAGTGATACTGGTTGTCCTTAATGCATAGCGTGAACATGCCTAGCATCAGTTAGGCGATCAAAAGTAGTCTACATCCCTCTAGTGTCTCTCCACTAGAGTTAGAGTTAACCAACAAGGGTAATTTTATTGCAGTTTATTAAAAACTGCAATAATTGCCACGGCAGGGTTAAGGGACCTGGCAATATGCACCCACACCACTTCAATGAGCTGAAGTGGTCTGGGAGCCTATAGTGTCCCTTTAAGGACTATGTACCAAAAACAAACTTAAAGGGTTACTCCTCCCACCATTGCCAGGCCTGCTATTAGAAGACATCATTGTAGTCAGTGTCTGAATGTACAGCATTTCTGCTTAAAGCCATGCACATATAGAGACATATTCACCTATGTGCTGGGGGCTAGTTACACCCCAAGCACACGCTCATGGTACAGAGTTCTGAAACGCCTAATAGTAATTCTGTGCAAAATGTCCGTCTGCTGTCAGCACACTGACGAAAGACGTAATCAGCTTCTCCCTAGCATGCAGCGAGCATGCAAAGGGAAACCTTGCTCTCCTCTCCTTCACTCCAGCTGACCCACCCCGCTACTCTGCATTCATTGAAATAGTTTTTTAAAAGTCCTTATACCATCTTTCCGTCCGCCTTCCCCAGCTCAGGGCATGTGCCCTGATCCTGGAGAATGGTCCAATCTAATGTAATTGAAACAGGGCATGGAATCCAGTGAAGAGAGCTTCAATCGCTCTGGATACTAGGTACCTTTTACCTAATTTTACATGTTTTTTTACAGCGAAGGACCTTATTACTAATACCCTACTGGACATTCAAAATTTAAAAAAAAAGGTTTTTTTTTGGTTTTTTTTTTTATAAAGTGTTAGAGTAATTTTTTTCTTTTCTTTTCAATCTTTGTTTTATTGAGGTATCAATAAGTATGGTACAGAAAGGAAGAATTATGTCATGTCAGCGACCTCAAAATAAAATCGAATGTAGAATTTACATATCTCCTAGAGTGACCTGCCTCATTTTTGGAAAGTAAGGCATACATGATATAATAAGATGCGTAGAGAAACGTTGAAGTAACTTTAATACACTGGGTTTTCCTGACTAGGAAGGTAGTCCACCTGGACTCACTAACTGTAAATTTCCTGCGATAGGAAACCGCATTAAATGAATACGGTAGGCCTGGGTTAGTGCTGGCCACAGTACGAATGTACATAAACTAGGCGGTCATCTGGTGACATGTAGTGGGGTGAACTGTACGTTTAGTAGGTCGGGCTAGGCATGTTACTGAAGCGTCGGATACGTGGAGCGTTTCTGGGGACCCAAACAAACAGGAACAGGGTAAACCTGAGTGAAATATTCATAATATATAAAGTGAAGTGCTGGATTGAAAGATTTTAACATAAAGATTTAAATGATAATGAAGTTTCAATGTTTTCTGCACGTCCTTCAGATTAGCCTCTGCTGCAATGAGCGCTGCCAAACAAAGGAAGCAGTCGAAGAGCTTTCAGTCGATCCTAAAATTCTCATTAAATGAAAAAGTGCTTTCTGTATCCCCGAAACTCCTACAAAGCAGGGAATATTGGGATATGTAGTTTCAGTAGCAGCAACAGCTTCATTCTTGAAAATATATGAATGAAACAAGAGCACAAAATGAAAAATACTGTATAGCTTTTATCAGCTTAGTAATGGTGCCATTCATGTTATTAGCATTACAGGAGCAGTTTTTGTAACCTGCACGTTATTGAGAAGCAGAATGAGAGAAATTTTATTTTTCTGAAATAAAATAATTTTAATCCCGTTTAAACTTTGGTCTAACATACCCAGCCAAACCTTTCAAATATTTATTTTTATTATTGAGTAACCTGTTCTAAAAGGCAAAATGGACTTTAGAGTTTTGGAAGGTAGAGTGTATGTGCTGATGGGTAAGAAGAATTCATGTAAAGATTATGCAAACTTAAATAAATCATTCACGTGTTTTAAGGGGACACGCTAAGCAATGCACCGACTACAGCTCAATTTATGACAAAAATCTTCTCAACGTCTGGGGACTGCTTGGCTGAGAGAACTGTACTAACCTGTCCCCTTCAATCTTAGACTGTCAATGTCAAATCTTGGTGGGACTTTATTGATAATGCCAAAGAAAAGGGCAGGCTCCCGGTGTGGGAAATAGAAGGGTTTATTGCTTTTAAATGGTATTCATATTAAACTGGAAAATAACACATTGTGGACAACCTAACTGCTACAGCAAGCACCAACATATTTTGGAGAGCTGTACAATAGGTGGACTATCACATAAGTAGTTGTAACCAGACAGGTTGGATGTACAAGAACAGAAGGTCCTTCTCAAATGAGCTTTCGTTCTAATGGGAGTGGGGTAAAATGGCAGAAGAAATCATGGTTAAACAGTCATATGTTTTTCGCTTTGTATGTTTATAATGTTGATGACTGCTCTATACATTTCCTATCTCCAGAATTCCGATTAGCAGTAGTTCAGCTTTTTGTTACTTCGGACAAATCCCAGAACCTAAAGAGAGCAAGCCAGTTAATAAAAGATGCCGCACAACAAGGAGCTCATGTCGTAGCGCTGCCTGTGAGTATCGTATTTTTACATTTAAATGGTACCTATCATACCACTATCAACTTGGCACAAAGTAATTCCTCTTCAGATTTCCTATATAACTTGTGCTAACAAGTGTATAGTGTTCTCTATAAAACAATGCTAAGATCTTGCTTTCCCTCCCTCCAGGCAGACAGGCTATAGGCATAGAGTCGATGACAATGACTGTCTCCAAGAATATACGCTATCTGTCTGTTCTCAAACCTTTTGAAGCGTTTAACCTTTAAGGTGCATAATCAGAGAACTGCTAAGTACGGGGAAGCCATGAGAAGCAGTCCTGAGAAATAGGACAGGTTCACTTTAAACATTTTGAAATCGAACAATTTCTACTCCCCATGTTTTTGTCATCAGTCCTAAAGCTCTGTGGTTTTCCCATTGAAGGTTAGGATAGTACGTTTTCTTCAATACATACATTGGAGTTATGTATAAACATTAGCAAATTCACTTTCACATTTGCTTATTTACAATACTTTGCCTTATGTTGAAGACCTCTTTATACATTGGTGACTTGTTTTACCTTTCAGTCCATCTTTCTGCCACTTTTTTTATTACTGAATTTTTTTAAATTTATTTTTTGTAATTTTATTTGCCCTCTTTGTCTCTTCCGTGTGATTGTACCACTGATTCACAAAATAAGACAATGGTTATTATTACACATTATTAACTGTTTATCCTTAAACAAAAAAAGGAAAATTGTAAAACCAGCTTTCTTGTCACGGAAAGTCGCCAGTCTGAGAAAAAGAAGGCAATCTTTTGTAGTTTTTATTTTATTGACACTGTAAGCGACAAACTTGGGAACCAAAAATTAAAATAAGAGAAGAGGCTCAGTAAGGAATATTTTGTCACAAATAAGGAAATAAATAAACACAAACAGGAATAGTACCAGAAAAACGAGTGTGTTTTTATGAGGTTTCCGAGTCTATTTAGTAATAATGAAAATGGTGTTGATTTAATATTACAATCTCCTGTAATGCATAGTGCCTGGTTCTTTATTGTACTGTCAGCCTGTTTCTGGTTGTCACACACATCCTTATTTATTTTTTATTTTCTGATCCTAGGAATGCTTTAATTCTCCGTATGGGACTAAATATTTTGCTGAGTATGCAGAGACGATTCCAGGGCAATCTACGCAGATGCTGTCCCAAGTAGCTAAAGAATGCAGCATCTATGTTGTCGGAGGTTTGTTTTTTTTCATGCCTAGTGCTAAATACAGAAAATGTCACACGGCACTGTACTGTGTAATATTATTTCCCTCTAGATTCCACCAATCCAGACTGGTTTTGAGTGAGAAGATAAAATGTGAAAGCCTAGCTTTACACAGTTACCGTTCTATGTTGTTATTGTTGCCAAATCAAATATCACTGGATTCCACCTATCGATCTTATGGTTTACTATGAAATACCTATTGTCAGAAGGAATCAGACAGTGACACAGATATATTCACTACTCTGTGAATTGTGAGGATTTGAAAGTGAATATCAAATTCTAGGCCACAATAGTTGAATTTAAAAAATTATCAGTTTGGCTATTTTGGACTAGACTTGTTAAATCCGGACAATACAGATATTTTGTTTTTGTTAACACTGTATTTATGTAATGAACATAAGCTTGAATGTGATAATTAGTGTAAGAAAATAAGCTGCCATATTTTATTGCAATGGTCATCCAATATTAATAACCTTACAATCCATTTGACCTTTAATGAGCCAGGCGTTTATTTTGATTTATGACACTTCTTTTTGGAACTAAATTTGTTAAGGAACTTTCTTTTCAGGAATGTGAAAATATAAAAACCGCATGTCCTGTATTTGCGATCTTTGTTCCTGAAATTAATTCTTCCTTTCTACAGGTTCAATCCCTGAGGAGGATGCTGGGAAATTGTACAATACATGCGCTGTGTTTGGTCCAGATGGAAACTTGTTGGTAAAACACCGGAAGGTAAATAAATTGTTCTGTTGTAAAATAAAATATATACAATCTTGCACAAATGAAATATGTTCAGTGGAACCATAGTAAGCCTAATGGAGAGATATATGTCTGGGCTTTCTACCAGCCAGGTCTTAACTATGTCACTGCCACCTCAGCTAATGCATTGCCTGCTTAGAAGACAAAATGTAAATGTCCTTTCGGCTTTATTAGTTTTGTAACCTGCGAGAAGCAGTCTTAGAATCTGTTACTGTTAATATGGAGAAATCATGTTTGCTGAATGTATTCTTCTTAACAGATTCACCTGTTTGATATCGATGTTCCTGGGAAAATCCGTTTTCAAGAATCAGAAACCTTGAGTTGCGGAGACAGCTTCACAGTGTTTGAGACCCGTAAGATCCTTTTAGTAAAACTCTCTAATGCTTATTCACTAAACAATGAGATGTCTGGAATTCAAAATACATTTTAGGCGACAATGGCCTAATCAGAGAAATTCTCTGAAGTCAACTATGTTTCCAGTTTGTCTAATTTGCTTTAACAAAATGAAATTCACATTCAATTCAATGAATAACCCTGTCTGTATAGAATGTGAAACCGGATGACTATTGTACAGAAAGTGTGGTGTATTCACTAAACAGTGATGTTTGGCAAACAAGCCATCGGAATTCCAGACAGAATTCCTGTTTTACGTGGATGGTGTGCAGCGTTGTACAGTAAAGTGGCTGCCAGATTTTATCCATATAGCTTCTCTCCCAACCAGGCAGATGCAGTAGACACACTGGTCTCTGAAGCATGTTAGAACCCACTGTACTCGAAGGTTTGTTGTTAATTTAGTTATGTGAGTGTAAATTGTACACGACAAGCGTTTAATGTTGGCGTTTTCTCAAATGAGATGGCGCAGAATGGGAAATAGGTGTTTTGTGGGTGATTGTTGCCATTTGTTCCATAGTTGCACTTTAGAAAAGTGCCTAGTCTGCCTGAATTTCGAGAAATTCAGGCATATTCATCATCTCGTCTCTTCTATACACACTGTGTTATTGAAACCAGTGACAGAACGCCAAGCTTTTACCCATTTATGTATCAGAGACAAGCCCAGTGAATAGCTGTGGAGTTGGGTGGTCACATTTCTGCCACTGCAAAGTTTAAAATTTGTATTTTCTGTTTGTTCCTGCTTCTCCATTTGAAAAGCCTAATGCCAAGCTGTTTTAAAGAATCTGTTTTGCTTTCCGCAATTGTGTCTTTTAAACCTATTTCATTCAGCTTGTGAATTATCGCTAACTTTTATATTTATGTGATTTAAACAGCTTACTGCAAAATAGGAGTGGGGATCTGTTATGACATGAGATTTGCTGAACTTGCCCAAATATACGCAAGAAAAGGTACAAATTTAGTCTTATTCCGTTGAAGTAGATTTATGAGAAACAAAAATGTAAAAAGACTTTAAGTAACAGCAGATCTTCATGTACTGGAACAAGTTCTAACATTAGGTTGTCATCTAATCTTTTCCTATTTTATTATTTATTGATATATTTTTGCCAGAAAATAAAATCTGCTGCTTCTCACAAGTTTTATATTAGTGATTTTACCATTATATATGTATTTTAGGGTTTTTATGCTTTACAGTTTGAATGGGGTTTCCACTTAAACTTGTAATTGAATTACTTGTAAATTGAAAAACGGAGTAGCTGATTTTGTTACTATGTAACTGTATTCCTTGTTTATGTCTATAATCACTGTAAACAATATGTAGCCATGACGATGTAGAATGCCATACATATAGTAATCAGAAGACTGTAACTATTCACATCAAAAATTAGACAAGATTTGTTAAAGGTAAACCAGTTACAGTCTCACTCTGACTAGCTGCACTTTGCCAAATGGGAAAATTTAGTGTAGTAAAGCAAAATTGTTTTTATATATATATATTTTTTTTATACTTTTTTTTTTTTTTTTCCCCAGGAAATGTCATATTTAATAATTCTACTTGACTGCATTGTTCTCTTAATATCAGACTGAAACATTGCTTTGCTCTTTATAGGATGCAAGTTATTGCTTTATCCAGGAGCGTTTAATATGACAACAGGGCCAGCCCACTGGGAGCTGTTACAGAGAGCACGGTAAGTATTAATAAAGCTAGTTTCATGTTTCATGCCTTTCAGCACAGGATACTAATGCTTGTTTATTGTCACTTTTCAGAGCTGTGGATAATCAGGTCTATGTTGCAACTGTATCTCCAGCACGAGATGAAAAGGCTTCGTATATTGCATGGGGACACAGCACTGTGGTTAGTCCATGGTAAGCAAGACAGGGGCGTATTCTTTTTGTGTGAACACGATTGTTTAATATACAAATCAACATGCTAATGAGCACCTTAAATTAAATGTATGCTTTGTATGATTTAGCACAAATACAGAGTTATTTACTAAACTGTGCTTTATTGGGATATTCAAAGTGAATTTAAACTTTTATGTTCATAATCAAATTGGAAATTTGACAATTGTGATCTAAAATTGGAAATTCACACATACCTACCCAGAACTGCTACACTTCGGGCTTAAGGCAACCCTCACCCAGAGTTCCAGACGGAGGGACAAACACTCTCAAATGAAGCCGGACATGTGATGATGCTAGCTTTTACCGACATAACCCACACTCCAGACCGGCTATATAGTATTACACATGCAAACACGCTCACACACTATATCACCCTGTCACTAGCAGAATGCAATCACACGCACCACATGAAGCTCCTGAAAAGAACAAAACCTCTCATATCAAGCCACTCGTTTTCAAACACCTCTGCCCTAATGTCACGGCATTCCCAAATGGCACAAATTATTATACCCTGCCACAGTTTATCCCTCTTGTATATACCCTATCTGCCAATAATGTTGTTTTGTTGTCAGCAAGTTTGCGCTCTAAGCGATGGTTTAACGTTCAGACACACCTGTCTAGCTTAACTCTCCACGTATTACTATGTTTTAATATGTCTAATGTCATACTAAACGACAAAGTGATCCATTAAGACAGTCGTAATTATCCAGCTTGTATTTAGCTTGTATTATTAACTTAAAAAATTGTGGATTTCCCCCGAATGCCATAAAACTGTAAACGAATACTTGTTCCCAAAATGTTAGCGAATAATGTTGTTGCATTGTTGACATGCGTATGTTATTTCATGCACAGCAAAAATAATTCAAAAAAAATATTTTTTTTTAAATTTGAATTTCTAAAAAAAATCACTCTTTAGTAGATACCTTGATAGTATATATCGTATACTGTCTAGTGTATGGATTCTCATATATTGTGTGAATTGGTTGTTTTACCTGTGGTATTTACTATCCCTGTAACTCTTCAATTCCTCTCTCTCTAGCAATCTATGGTCATAAAATATCCCCAATGATCCTGTGATTTTTGACTTTTGTTTTTTAATATCTAATCTTTATTTCAGAAAATATTTTATATAAATACACAATCACAAGACCATACAATGCAACATAGACACAATTATGTGTTTATATATGTAGCATAGTGTTATATCATTATTTTAACACATTGCTCATATTCACAATTTAAATATTACAACACATAAGAGACACATCAACACAAAACATCATTTAATATTATAAAGCTCTACTTCATTATTCCTGCGAGAGGGACCAGGATAGCTAGGACTTCAATATATCATGTTGCCAATCTGCTCTTGCGACGTGGGACATGTGGCTGCCTCCGGTAAGTGACTGAAGGGGTTTTCACCCCTTCAGCAACCGGGGAGGGAGAGGAGACCTGCAGTGCCAGGAAAACAGATTTGTTTTCCTGGCACTGGAGTTTCCCTTTAACATCTCTTTCGGAATGTCTCCAAAATTCATAAAATAATTAAATCTGCAAGAGGTTCTACTATATATTTTTTTTCAAATATTCGAAAGAAGCAATTACTGAAGCCATCCGGCCCAGGTGCCTTTTTTGTTCTTAATTTTTTAAGGGCTAAACTTACTTTTGAGAGTTTGGTTTATTTAATTGTATCAATTGACCCTCTGATAACCTAGGAAGCTTAAGTTGTAAAAAAAAATCAGACATCTTAACCACTTTATCTCCTTCTGGCAAGTTCTAAAGTTCTAAATAAAACTCTTGAAATGCTTTGCCAATTTTATCAGGCAAAAGAATAGTTTCCGTGTGCTTTTTGTCTTCTAAAGCAACCTATTGGCTAATTAAGTCTATGCATCGGTCAATAAGATTTAAAGGAACACTATAGTATCCCTGTCCCTTAGTTTATAGGTCCCCCAACCATAAATGGGTTTTAAAATGATTTTACTGATCTTTTTTCTCCAGAGTCGAGGCTCCAGTGATGCTGACTAGACCTTCTTGCGACAGTACAGCGATTACGGGACCTAATGTGTGGCTAAGGCCACGCGCACATTAAAGCTTTCTCAAAGAAAAGCGTTGAATCCTTGCATTCCTGTAGGGAATTTGAAGATGTTTGGTGTCTTCATGCAAAGTGTGAGGATGTCCAATGATGTTTAACGGAGTAAAACTCTACTACAGACCTAGAAACACCTCTAGTGGCTGTCTGGAACTCAGCCATTAGTGGTGGAGTTAACCCTGTAATGGAGTCATTGAAGTTTTTCAGACTTCTAGTTTCTGTAATGTGATCAGTGTAGTTTCTCCGACTGGAGTTTCTCGGACCCTAGGCAGAATTCTACATTTTAAACCAGCTTTTAAAGATGCTATATCTTAATGGAATGTTCCTTTCATTACTGAATGAAGGGCTATATAGAGCTGCAAATATGCCCATAACATCATGGGGTCTTTGAGATCAGATTACGATCTGAAAGATTTTTCTTTTTGTGTTTTTGATTAGCAAACGTATCTTTGGTGCTACTGTTATTTATTCATTAACATAACTGAGCTAAATTTGCATGTTGTAGTGGTATCATTTTAGGTTTCTGTCATAATGTTTGTTTTTATATTACAGGGGAGAGGTTATAGCAAAGGCGGGTACAGAGGAATCTATCACCTCTGCAGACATCGGTACGAGAATCCATTTATATCCTGTTTTATGCTATTGAAGCGTCTCACCAGCGTCTTTTTTTTTTTTTTTTAAATCCTGCATGATACGCTTTAACCTTTTGTCTCCTAATCTCAAACTCCACCGTAGTTTTAATTTTGTAATACAAAATTTTTATAATTATTTAAAAAAGGCTTGCTGCGCCGCTGTTTATGTGAAATATAAAGATCTAACTTACAAATCTATGGGAGGACAGGGATTTACTGAGAGAAATCCGCATTTTTATAACTGTCTGACACAAGGTACATGTATATGGCTGAAAGATCCTGTCATTTACTAAAGGTAGGGGTATTTCTACATTTCTAAATATACTTCATAAAAATAAAAAGTCTTGATGAAAGGGTTATTATATTAAAATGGTTTTCAGATGAAAGTTGTCCTTTAAGTACTAATTTAACGTACTGAATAACTGTTTATTATAATTTTATCTTACAGATGTGCAATATCTCGATGAGATCCGACAACAAATTCCTATTACTAAACAACGTCGCCCTGATCTGTACAATGTAGAAGAAAAGAAGAAATCATAGTGTGTGCATACATTGTAAAATAAATGTAAATCTATCTGGGTCTTGTCTAGCAATGTTACTGCATATTTTTTTTTAAGCAGGATGTGTACTGGAGGCTTTCAGATTCTCGTACTATGGTTGAAGTACATCATATTGCATTCATTGGATTGAAAGACGTATCAAAATCTGGAATGAGAGCAAATTATAGTAATGATAACATGTTATTTTATGTTTAAACATGTAAAATCAGCTTGCTTCTAATGATTCAGTAGGCTTTGAAGCCTAGATATACTACATGGCCTGAAGGATCTGTGTCTCCTGTTAAACATGGCATTTGGCAATTTCAACACCAGATATAGCTAACAAGGTCAGAAAATTAAAGGGATTCTATTGTGCCAGGAAAACAAAGCAGTTTTCCAGGCACTGTAGAATCCTGCAGTGTCCCCTTCAAACCTTTTCAGTCACTTACCTAAATCCAGCGCCGATGTCCCTCGTCAGGCTCCGCTCACGTTTCTACCCTGCCGACGGCAAGCAGGGTCAGATAATGGACCATAGGTCCATTTCAATTCTGGAAGTCCCTCTAGTGGCTGTCTAGTAGACAGCCACTACAGGAGGAGTTAACCCAGAGGTAATTATTGCAGTTTCTCAGAAACATTCATTATACACACTCTGCACTCACTACACACTCTGCACTCACTACAAACACACTGCATTCATTATACACACTCTGCACTCACTACAAACACACTACATTCACTACACACACTGCATTCATTATACACACTCTGCACTCACTACAAACACACTGCATTCATTATACACACTCTGCACTCACTACACACTCTGCACTCACTGCAAACACACTGCATTCATTATACACACTCTGCACTCACTACATTCACTACACACACTGCATTCATTATACATGCACTCACTACAAGCACAGTACATTTATTATACACACTGCATTCACTATACACACTCTGCACTCATTACAAACACACTGCATTCACTATACACACTCTGCACTCATTACAAACACACTGCATTCACTATACACACTCTGCACTCATTACAAACACACTGCATTCACTATACACACTCTGCACTAACTACAAACACACTGCATTCACTAAACACACTGCATTCATTGTACACACTCTGCACTAACTACAAACACTACATTCATTGTACACAATCTGCACTTACTCCACACTCTACATTCATTATACACAATCTGCACTCATTACAAACACATTACATTCACTATACACACTGCACTCACTATACACACTCTGCATTCACTACACACACTGCACACACTACATTCAGTACACACTCTGCACTCACTACACACGTACTACATACTCTGCACTCACTACATTCACTACACACACTACATGCATTATACACGGTTTGCACTCACTACAAACTCAGTACATTTATTATACACACTCTGCACTCACTACAAACACACTACATTCATTATACATGCTCTACAAACACATTAAATTCATTATACACACCCTGCCCTGCATTATATGCATAGGAGTGTACATTTAAAAAAAAAAAAAAAAAATTTTATGGGAGGAGCAAGAATCTTGGGTGATCCGGTAGTCTGGTGGAGGGAGCCAGCTGCTTCACATGGGGGCCCAGCACACCCAGTTCTAACTCTCGCGAGACTCGTCTGCATGCAGGTCTCGCGAATGTGAGCTGCAGCTGGAGAGGGAACACAGAGTGTGCTGGGCCCCTGTGTGCTGGTAGCAGGGCAGGTCCTGCAGGACTACTAGTGGGAACGGCGCTTCTGCTTTGGAAAAAGTGCAGGAACGCCGTTCCCATGCGTTCCTGCAGGACTCGAGCCCTGGTTGTTTTGGTGTGTATAGTTTGTCCCTGCAGGCATTTTAAAGTAAACGTTTGCATTACTGCCTAGAAACACCTCTGGTGGCAGTCACTCAGATAGCCAATAGAGTTGCTTCCTGTGTCAGTCCTACGCAGTGTGCAGCACTGAAGTTTAACATCTACACTAGGCATGTGCATGGGGGAAATTTTTGGTTCAGTTCGGCATTCCGAAATTCGGCAACTTCAGAATGTCAGGACTTCGGCACTTCTCTTGCAGCTGCTTCGTAGATAACTCCCTAATTTCCACGTTATTAGGGAGTTATCTACCAAAAGGCTGAAAGACCTAAATTGGTCTTTCAGCCAAATTTATTAATACTAAGTAAAAATGACTTAGTAATAGTAAATTTTGCCCCTACTTGCTATCCCGCGAGTAGGGGCATGTCTATTAAACTGTAAAAAAAAAAAAAAAGTCCCCTTAAACTAAAGGGGAGACCTATTGCCCCCCCCCCCGGCCCCCACCCCTGAGCGGCGGGTGGTAAAGTAAAATGATGGGGGGGACCTATTGTCTCCCCCTCCACCCCCCCGGCTCCCACCCCTGAGCAGTAGGTGGGGGCCCTAAATACTAATAAGGGGGGGGACCTAATGTCCTCCCCCCTGGCCCAGGGGTGGGGGCCCTAAATACTAATAAGGGGGGACTTAATGTCCTCCCTTGCCCACACCCCTGGGGGCCTTAAATACAAATGTTACCCCCCCCAGGTGACTAGGGATCCCCAAACCCCTAGTCACCCCACCAAAAAAAAATAATTAACCCCTACCTACCCCCCTCACCCTAAAAATAATTAGGGGGGGGACCTTTAACTAAGTACCTGTAAAAAAAATAAACCTTACCATTCGATGTTTTCTTTCTTCTAAAATCTTTTTTCAGCCCCAAAAAAGGACAAATAAAAAAGCCATAATAACCGACGCACTTTAAAAAAAAAAATATCCATCTTCACTCCGCGCAGACTGAGCTCTGCAGGGTGGGGGAAGGCTTATAAAGCCTTCCCCCGCCCTGCAATTAGGCTCAGATCACTCTGGTGGGGTTAAGCCATCCAATCAGAGTGCTCTGACAGGTAAATGAAGAGACTGACAAGTAAGTCTCTACATTTACCTGTCACAGCACTCTGGTTGGCTTAAAATCTGCCAATCAGAGTGCTCTGTGTCATTTTACACAAGTTCTTTGGAATTTTCCCACGCTGTGTAATTTGACTCATAACTCTGGTTACTTAATTGGTTTTATTTTTTAGTTAAAGGTCCCCCCCTCATTATTTTTAGGGTGAAGGGGGTAGGTAGGGGGTTAATTTTTTTTGGGGGGGAGGGGGTGACTAGGGGTTTGGGGACCCCTAGTCAACTGGGGGGGTGCAACATTTTTATTTAGGGCACCTGCACGCCGCTCAGGGGTGGGGGCCGGGGGGAGGACAATAGGTCCCCCCCTATTGGTATTTAGGGCCCCCACCTGCCGCTCAGGGGTGGGGGCCAGGGGGAAGGACCTTAGGCCCCCCTTATTAGTATTTAGGGCCCCCACCCGCCGCTTAGGGGTGGGGGCCACGGGGGAGGACATTAGGTCCCCCCCCTTATTTTACTGTAGGGCCCCCACCCGCCGCTCAGGGGTGGGGGCCAGGGGGGAGGACATTAGGTCACCCACCTTATTAGTATTTAGGGCCCCCACCCACCGCTCGGGGGGAGGACATTAGGTCTCCCCCCTTGTTTTACTGTAGGTCCCCCACCCACCGCTCAGGGTTGAGTAGGGGCATAATTTACTAATACTAAGTAATATTTACTTAGTAAATTTGGCTGAAAGACCAATTTAGGTCATTCAGCCTTTTAGTAGATAGCTCACTAATACCGTGGGAATTAGGGAGTTATCTACTTATTCATTCCTGTCATTACACTGACTGGCTAAGTAACTTACATTTTATATGAATGTGTGTTACTTGATTGTTGTAAGTGTTGCAAATGCTTACAGCTGAATCCTGGCTATGTTTGTATACTTTTTATTTAAAATTGTAAACAGTGTAATATTCTTCATTCCTCCACTGGGTAAGTATATTAGTTCTTAGGCAATACTATGCTTCGAGAAAAAGAATGAAGGATAAGGGCTGCGCTAATACACAAATAAAAATTGCAAATAGTCCAAATAAATAGCTGTAGTAAAATAAGAAAGTCTTATCTAGAATATGCTCTTTGAGGTTAGGAGATCTATCCGTGCTTGATCCGGAGCAATTGTCCTTTATGTGTTCATCCGTGAGAATCCACTCGTATATGGAAGATAAAAGGGTGGAGAGCCAATAGTGTAAAATGTTAAAAACACTAAAAATGAATAAGAAGGGAAAAATAAAACTCACATTTGAAAGAGCTAAACTTGCTCTAGTATAGAAGGCGTACAGCGGTTTGATACCCGCTTATGGGATATAGGGTGGACTTCCTCCGTCAGTGGTGTATCCGACACTCGGGTAGAAAGAAACAGCCAATAGTGTACACTGGATACAATGTTGGTAGTAAAATAAATAAAAATAAAATGGGTACTCACAAGGCGGGAGCAGAACAACTGCTCCTTGACGTAGCGCTGGTGGTATGATCCCCACCTAGGATTTCTTGGAGTCCGGGATGTTGAGAGAATGCCAGGTGATAAATAAATTAGAGTGTATAAAAGGATAAGTGGCACAGATAAAAAGTAACCAAATATACTTTAATATATATAAAATACACAATTAAAAACAATGTTATGCCAGGTTTCAGGTTCTTACCCCATATTGATAACGCCATTTTTGGCGAAACGCGTTTATGGACTTTTAATTGTGTATTTTATATATATCAAAGTATATTTGGTTACTTTTTATGGAGGAAGCCAGCCACCTAAAAAAAAATTTTTTTTTTAATACTGTAGTGTCATGAATACTTGTTTGTATTCGCAACACTATAGTGTTCCTTTAACATTTTTATAATGCGTTATAAAGATAAACAATAATACATTTATTTTTTTTAAAAGCCAAAACTTTTAAAATAAGATTAATTCTTATATGTACAGCAAATTCCCAGGCTTTTTAGTATCTGCTGTGTGCTCTGCTGACTAGGAAATGACTCACAGTTACAATGATTTATATAGCCAACATATTCTGTAGCACTGTACAATAGGAAACAAGACAAACATTTAATTCTAACAGAACATATTTGATAAACAGGAACAATAGGTGAAGAGAGCCCTGCTCAAATGAGCTTGCAATCTACCAACAGTCTTAGTAAGGTTCACTTAACCCCTTATGGACACATGACATGTTATGATTCCCTTTTATGCCAGAAGTTTGGTCCTTAAAGGGTTAAGGACATATGATATGTGTGACATGTCATGATTCGCTTTTATTCCAGAAGTTTGGTCCTTAAGGGGTTAAAGGAGAATGTGTTCCCCATGCGCCCCCCTGGAGATGTAAAAGGTTAAAAATCCCTTTATTCTCATTCCTGTTTCCAGCGTTGATGGGGGAAACCTAATGAGCAAACTCTGTGAAACTCCAGGTCTGGTAGCCAATAAAGCAAGAAAAATGGGAAATAAATATTCATAAAAAATCTGTTATTGGTAGATGGTATTTGTTATATGGTATAGAACCATAGGCACTAGGGTGGCACTCAAAAGCCTATAATGGGGGAGAGGGGCCTGACCACCAAGAGAGCAGGATGCAGGGTGAAGGAGCTCCTCAGTCTGAATATTCTATTTAACATTTTAATCGATGATTCCTTAAATTTTCTTGGCAAGTGCCCTCACAGTCTAAGGAGATCCGTCCCGTACCTGTTGACTAAGGTGCCTTTGGAATCCTGTGGTAATCTCTGCGGCCTGCTACATTATCTTGAGCGGGAGAAACGGCCTATCTCCTGTCTCATCTGGAAACAGCATCGACTTTGGCACATGTGTGGTCCCCGGTCTTGTGGGGATTGTCCTGGTCCCCGCTGGACTTGACGATCTCAATCTCAAGTGGAACACTGCTTGCTGCACCACAATACGGGCCGAAATAAGGGTTGCTCAAAATGGCCAACACAAGTAAGCCTGACCATCCAGAGGCAGAAGCCACGAGGCTTTGACTTCGCAAGCACAATCTTGCAGGTGCTGGCCTGGTTTAAAGCCATATGGAAACACTTCTGGGACCTCCAGCCACTACCAAAAGAAAAAATAATTTTTGAAAGTGTGTAGTAAAGGGACACTATAATCACCCAGTCCATTTTATCTCAATGAAGTGGTCTGGGTGCAGTGTCCCTGTCCTTTTAACAATGTAAAACATTGTAGTTGTTTTAAAAACTGCAATGTGTAGACACATCTATTATTATTTTATTATATCTATAGCACCAGCAAATTCCGTAGTGCTGTACAATGGGTGGACTAACAGACACGTAATTGTAACAAGACTAATGGACACACAGGAACAGAGGGGTTGAGGGCCCTGCTCAATGAGCTTACATGCTAGAGGGAGTGGGGTATAGTGACACAAAGGGTATAAGTAGGGGTAATGAAATAGGCTGCTAGAAAAGTATTCACTGAGGGCTTAGTAGTTAATTTTTGACAGTTGCAGGAGAGAAGTCATGGGGGGTAGGTGGGATGAAAACCCGCTAACAGTTTAGATGACATGCTTTCCTGAAGAAGTTTGTTTTAAAAGATTTTTTGAAGGTGTGGAGACTGGGTGAAAATCTAATGGTGAAGGGAAGGGAGTCCACCGAAAACTTGCAGCCCTGGGGAAGGTGAGCATCAGATGTGGGAGTACGGACAGAGGATAGGCGTAGATCTTCGGCAGAGCGCAGGGGCCTCGATGGGACATATTTGTGTATAGGGAGGATAGGTAGGTTGGAGCAGCATTATGTAGGGACTTGTAAGCAAGCACCAGAATCTTAAATTGAGCCCTATATCTAACTGGAAGCCAATGTAGGGACTGACAGAGGGGGGAGGTGCGGGCAGACAGGAAAATGAGCTTCGCCGCTGTATTCATTATCGATTGCAGCGGTGCAGTCTGGGAACATGTAAGACCACTGAGAAGGGGATTACAGCAGTCAAGGCGAGAAAGAACAACAGCATGGACCAGCACCTTAGCTGCATCTGGTGTTAAAGAAGGGCGGATGTGAGCTATGTTTTTAAAAAGGAAGCAGCAGGATTTGATCGACAGGACATGAGGGGTGAAGGAGAGGTCGGAGTCAAAGAGAACACCCTAGGCAGCGAGCCTGGGAGATGATGATGGCGCCATTGATTTAGAGGGAGACAGACACGGGAGTAGCAATACTCGAGGGAGGAAAGACCAGAACAGGTTGAGTTTAAGGAAGTGAGCAGCCATCCAGTTGGAAATCGCAGAGAGGCAGTCAGAGACACAAGGTAAGAGGGACGGGGAGAGATCAGGAGAGGACAGGTAGGTTTGTGTATCATCTGCATTGAAATGATAATGGAAGTCAAAGGAGCTGATGAGTTTACCAAGGGAGGCAGTGTAGATGGAGAACAGTAGGGGACCAAGGACAGAACCTTGGGGAACACCAAAAGAGAAGGGTTGGGGAGAAGAGAGAAAGAAACCTTAAAAAAGCTTTGGGAGAGTGACTCTAGTGGCTGTCGTACTGACACATCCAATATTCTCATAATGACAGCCACCTGAGGTGTTTCTTTGACACTGACTGAGAAAAACCCAGCCACATAACATGGAAGCTTATAGAGAAGCATTGAATATAATATTTTCCTATGGGGAAGCATGAATGCTCATATGGTGCTCGCTGTGTATGTGCATTATGTCCCATTGGACCATCGTGGATTTGGCCATACCTGCTCTATGATTATGCAAGAGGCAGAAGAAAGAGCCTCACTGCTGGAAATGGTAAATTAAAGAATTATTTTATTAATTTGTATAAGGGGGGGTGTGGGGGGTGGTGTCCTTAAAACATTAGGAATACACGTTTGAATTCCTAACACTATAGTGTTCCTTTAAGTAAAAACACATGTTTAAAAATTAAAACAAACAAAATAAATATTTTCAATATAAAGAACATGGTGATAGTAAAAAGCTATTTAAAATGCTGTTAATGTGCAATGTATAAAGAAGCAGCAAAAAAAATATAAACTCTATAATAATAAATATCTTTCTGTACCAACCCATATATTGTAAATTTGAAGTGTTTCACACCTTGTTGGTTCATTCATTTCATTCTTACACAATATGAACGGGTCGGAGTCTGCAGGAAAAGTGCTCCCCTGCAGTTCGTAATATTTGCATACAGCAGGAGATAATCCATGATATATACATACACTATAGACGTATTACTCATATCTCATATACTATTTTTGATCATTTCTAGGACAAAATAGTATTAACCGATCCCTGGATATCACACAAATCCTGTATATTTTACTACCGTTTAATATTTAACCTCAACAATAGCATCTCCCACAATGGGATCCAAATGCCTGTTGGTATTTGGAATAGTATTGCTGATAAGTGACTAGTAATGAATTACTAATCTGAACAGTTTACACCTGCAGCTCCTATTAACAAGATATAAACCACCCAGGTCAGGAGATTCCACAGACTGCCTTGGGAGACTTGTTATCTGAGTTTAGACTGCTGGTTCTACTGGTTAGTAGGTTTGTTTGTGTTTTCTTGGCTAATATTAGAGATACTGTCCGGATTGAGCAGTATATATTGTGCACTGTGAGTTCTACTCACTGCCCAATGCAGTCCCTAAGCTAAAATCTGGGTAATGTTGGTGAGAGCACTCAAAACATGCATGTAGGATATATTACCAAAACTTGTGGATTTTCAATATGGAATCATTGTCCCCTTATGGTCTTAATATTGATTTTGAGATTAATTCATGTATATAGTTTTATTTTGCTACTTTTTTATTTTTGATTTTTTCATGTAGTATTTTTTATTAATTATATATAAGGAATGTTTCTATCTTGTTATATAAGTTTCTTCTAATGACCTATCCTTCCTTCCCCTTTAATAGGTGTACAGTACCTCCCCTTTTTTTTATGGTGATTTTATGAATTTTATTGATTATATTTGTGTATTTGGGCTCTCCTCCTTTATAGACGAATATATTAAATGTATGTGAATGTTAAAAGTTGCGATTGCTAAGAGACTGGCAACCTCTATGATTAGAGACTCTCTAAAATGGCGCCGAGAGTACTTCCGGTTTCGGCGCCGGGAAGACGTCATGACGTAGCCGTTTTGGGCAAAGAATGAAGATGTAACGTCATCACGTAACGTAACCGGAAGTCGCCGAATAATGACGAAAACGGAAGTCATACGGGACGCCAGAGAAAGGGCGCTGGAATTTGAAAATATAAAAAGAAGAGATCGGAGATGAGAAACAGACCACTTGAGAAAGGCTGTGAGTGCCGAAACGCGTCGTGGTATATATAAAGGACATTTTACCTGTATTCATTACTATTTTTATTTTATGTAGTATTTTAACAATAAATCAGTTTGGATTTTGATTCTGCATTCTGGAGTGATTTTGGAGAACATTTCCAGCGCGGATCTATCAAGTTTGATACAGGACGTCCAAATTGAGATTTCTCATCTCGTTACAAGCCCTAAGTCTGAGTCAGCTTTTAAGTGACTCAGTAATATGTGAGTTTAACCAGTCACAGAATATAACTTGCATATATTTTAACAGTATTATACTATGTTTGTGCTTTATGTTTTGTAGATATTCCAACTAAACCAAGTTTTGGTAATATATCCTACATGCATGTTTTGAGTGCTCTCACCAACATTTTACATTTTGCACTTTATTGATATTTGGTGTGTTGGAGTGGTTCACACTAGGTGATAGTAGCACCTATAATATACTTTGTTCCTTATAATTCTTTTATATAAAATCTGGGTAATAATTACTGAAAGTACTTCTAAGGTGTATTTGGAGGCCAGCTCTTACTATGTATATTGGAATTATTGTATTTGGTGTGTGCTGGATACAATGGGGGGGGTGCATATGTTAATCTCCAGGGGCCACCTATAGGTCTGGTTATGGTGTGGCTGGGTGCCTATAGTGTCCCTTTAACTGTAAGGTGGGAAGTTTGTCAAAATGAAACCTCTTAATTCAGGTGGGCAAATAGGGCACTTAAATTCTAGGGGTGTGGCTACTTTTAGTTTTGTTTTTTTTAACATGCTAATTTATGCAATTAGAACAGGAATGCTGTAGTATTTACACACTATCCTCTAAACTCTTTTGTTGTTGTAGCTTAAAGCTACACAGTTGTGAGTTTCACTGCTGTGGAGCTCTGTTATTTACTCATACACCACAATACAGAGCTCCTAGAAGAGTTTTGGGCTCCTAAAGGGATTGGATTGTGTTGGGAATCTGTGTTTCTAACACTACAATGCCCACTGCTGGCACCCCCCTCTACCCAAACTCTTTCTTATTGGTTATCAATGGATGCAGAGCGTGAACGTCATTCAAGGGACGGAGTCCCTTAGAATCCCAGAAGCGCCTTTAGTGACTGTCCATCAGGAGGCTGTCTTAGTCCTGCAAGGTAATCAAACTGTAATTTATCACACTACAATGATTTACATTGCAGGACTAAGTGGGGCGAGGACACTGTGCCCAGACCACTTAAATGAGCTGAAGTGGTCTGGGTGACTGTAGTGGACTTTGACTTCTAAATGGCTATATTTGGGTACTATTGGGTAGTTATTCCAGGTAAGTTTTGTCGTGTGTTTTTGTTTTTATTTTTGATATATTAACTTATTCATAGATAATATTGTGGTGTGTATGTATTCTGCCCCCTAAGAAATGTAAATTAAAAAAAAAGGCACTTTTCAAACACATTGCATTTATAGGTTGTTTTGTTTCAGAATTTGGGCAATTGACTCTTAAAGTGGCACTGTTGTGGTTGCATCCTTCTCATCCCCCAAACTCCTCTAAATTTAACTGACCCCCAAATGCCCTTATGTCTCTAACTTTTTTTTTTTTTTTTAATTCTTTATTTTTCTTTGCATGTGTGAACAGACCACATTTGATCTTGCAGTGACTGCAGGCTTATCTTGAACAATGAATTGATATGGCATGCATTTAGACAGCACAATTTTTGTATTATGTCATGCTAAATTATCATGCTATATATGAACAATATCTTAATGCTAAAACTGTTTCCAGGCAGTCCAATAACGTGCATAGTAATTAGTAGTGTGAACAGCTACATGTCTGCAAATAAACTATGGGCTGGAGCTTGTAGCAGAGGTGTAACTCAGGCAAGATTCAGTTACAGGACATGTCAGTCGATGGGCTGATAGTCATTACACTACGGCATGTTACATATTTGACTTTGTATATGCATTAGATACTTCTTAAAGCAGTTATAACAATAAGTAAGCATGTGAATAATCAAAAAACAAGCTATTTAACTCCACTGGGTCCTTGCATGTGAGTCGCTCTTCTCCCCTGGTCCTGCTCTGGTGGGCTGTTGGAGGTAGTAAGCTGTGGGGCATGCTTGGTCTCCCGGGCTTGTGGCTTCCCTGCCTTCACCCTGGTGAGAGGGTATGTTGGCTGGGCTCATGGCACAATGTAAGGTAGGTAGTGAAGTGTCTCTGTGAGACTAAGCAATGTGTCAATGAGCAGTTCATCTATGCCCACATGCTGATCTTGTTGTACCCTCTCATTCTGTTTCTTACCTAGCGGATGCATTTACCTCTCCGCGTTTTGCTGTGATGTAGTGGGTGGTCAGTTGGGGACCGAGAGCTGGAGATGTGTCTCGTCCGCTCTCATCCCGGTAGGTGAGCTGCTGGGTAGGAACTCTCCTGATATCGGGTATCTGGTCGGTGGAGGCCCAGTTCCAATGGACCTTCCTCCAGGAGTGTAGCGGTGCCATGCAATCTGGCTTGCGGCTTGGGCAGGAAAAACCCGTAGCAGGTACTTGTATTGCTGGTGCCTCAGTCTCTTTAAGGTGGTGAGGTGTTTTTCAGATGGCAAGACAGTGTGGTGGCCATTTTAGCTTTGGAGCATCAGAGTGCGCCTTGCAGGCCTCGGTAAGGATCGCCTCTGTGTCCTCCACTACTGGGATAATCCACCCCCCCCCCAGCCCGGAAGGGGCCTGTGAGATGCGTTCCAGAGCCGTTGTGTGGCGGTCAAGCAAGCAATTAGGCAGGATGGCGGCCATCCATCCCACCTTTATCGCAGAAAGGTCGCAAGCTCCAAAGTCCTGTGTGGCCCCAAGACTCCCGATCTTGGAGCCTGCTGTTGTTCCCACTTCAGATCCGGCTCAGTGATCTTTCCCTCCGGCTTGAATAAAAGCTGTAAGCCTATGTTATTGGTTGAAAAGGCAAATTTCTGCAGGAGCCTCTCCCTCATGTGACCGGTCAGCATAGTGGGCAGGCTGGGGGCCCTGCCCCCCTCTAACTTTTTTTATTTTTATTTTTTTTAAATATCCTCCAGATCCATGTCCTAGACCTAGGCATATTGAATATTCTCTATTCGGCAGAAAGAGATGAATGAATAGAAATTACAAAAGCTAAATTGCAATTCGGTTTGATCGTTTAGCTTATCACAAAGAGGGAGTTACCATCTCACAGATCCTTTCTTGTAATATGTAAATAAATAGATGCAGCTGTGCTCTCCGCCACTTCCTACAATCCCCCACATGCACTCTTCATTCTATGGGGGTCAATATGACTCTGATATTGGTATAAAGCAGTTTAAACCTCCCTCCTGTCAATGGTAAAACACTGAATTTTATGTGAACATGTATGACTAATGGACAAACTTATGACAGACAGTACATATGCAGATAACAAACTTTCCTTTCCTCTGGTTTTAGATTTTCAGGATGTCTGGTCGTGGAAAGAAGGTTCAGAAAGCTGCAGCTGGAAAGGCCTCTAAATCAGCCAAGGCTGGTCTGCAGTTCCCAGTGGGCCGTGTTCACAGACTCTTGAAGAAAGGAAACTATGCGGAAAGGATTGGTGCGGCGGCTGCTGTTTACCTGGCAGCCTCTCTGGAGTACTTGTGTGCGGAGGTCTTGGAGCTGGCAGGAAACGCGGCCAGAGACAACAAGAAATCAAGGATCTTACCCAGACACATCCAGCTGGCAGTTAGAAATGATGATGAACTCTCCAAGCTGTTTGATGGGATCACAATTGCTGATGGTGGTGTCTTGCCCAACATCCACTCTATACTTCTACCAAAGAAAACTATTAGAGGTCCAGGGTCACAAGACTCAAGTAAAGTAGCAGAGTCTCAAGAATTCTAGTCTTGTATACTATCTGGAGTTCTCAAATCTCTCCCTCCTCACCACCAAATGGACTTGTATTGTTATAAACTATTTATGAAATGTTTTGTTTTTAAATGTTTACAATTAAACTTATTTATAAACCTTCAACAGTTTGTTTTGTTTGGGTCAACTGGTTTGGCGAGGTATTTGTGGCTTGAATGACAGATTCCTGAACCACTGTTAAAAGCTCAAGAAAATCTCAATAGAGAGCTATGAGATGACAAAAAAATCATTGTCAATTCTGTCTTATCTGTAAGCAAGAGACTTGAGCATTGCTCTCTAAATGTACTTGTTTGGGGCTGTAGAATGTAATGGCAGTCTGAGTCATAACTACCAAATATCCAGTGGTTGTGTTAGGGGCCATCAATTTTTTTTTTTTTCAGAAAGGGCATCAATGTACATGTTCAAGGCACTCGGGGCATAAAGTGCACTGGCAGCCCTTAATAGGGTTAGCAAGAGCGGCTAACCTGACCCTCTTTATGACACTGCTCGTCTCTCACCCCACCAGTCTGCCTACCCCAGTCTCTAATTTATTCCCATCGCTGTCTGCTGCAGGAAAAATGAGTTACTTGCACATAACTCCAAACCCCTCTGCACATTTAAATAACTGGAGGTTTGTTTTTTTGTTTAGTATCCTTTAAATGACCTTTAAAGTGTAGGCTCACCTGCCACTTCAAGACCTGTATGTTTTGTATTGGCTTTTGTAGTAAACTGCACACCTCCTGTGTTCCCTAATAGGGGATTTAGAAGGGTACACTGCTCATTAGATATTTAACTTTTTTTTTTTTTTTTTTTTTTTTTTTTTTTATTTAACTGAAAGTGGCAGGTGAAACTACATTTTAAAAACCATTTGGAGTGATTTTAAAAAAAAAAAACAAACAAGACCTTGTTTAAATGTGCATCAACCCAATTTATTTTACACAGTTGCATGCTCTAAAATGTGCATAGGGGCAGCGGGCTAGTTGTAAAATTTAACTGTAAAGTAGAGATTAAAGCCACAAGAGCTTTGGCAAGTCAAGCAAGCCCATCATACTCCTATGTGGCATATCCCCTCTTATGCTAAAATCACTGCATCCACTTCCTTTCTCTGTCCCATGCTCCATAACGGTAGCACCTACCTACTAGTACTCATGGAAGAAATGGGGTGGCCAAGTGTGTTCTGAGTTGAGGATTCAGTTTATGGTTAGTGAGAGAACAGCTTAGACTGACGTAAAGTAGATTTCAATCTCTAAGTTAATCACCAAAGTAAGCCTGTAGGGATCCATGGCATACCCACCAGGGGTGATTTTTCTAGTTGCCCAGGCTAAGTTAATAACTGTCTAGTCAAAAGAATACATTTTATCCTCTGCAGAGAGGGGTTGTTCAACACAGGTAGACTGGGTTGATATGGAAGATTAATATAGTGTATATGTGCCTCCTCATGTACGTGTCCAAATACCAGACACTTGAAGTATGGTTTAGTGCTTTCTGTCTAAGATTCTGTAATTAGGACATCATAACTGTCAGCAATAGGTTATTACAAGGACACTCTGGCACCATAACTTTTTATTCCAATTAAGTTTTGTTATAGGGCAACGAGAGCCTGGACATTCTCTTACCGTTGACTTCTTTGAAATCAGTTTGAAGATGGCACTTGAACTACGAATCCTAGCAAAATGTAAGAGCTCAACAAGCTATCTCCAAGGGACCAGAACTAGAGACTTGCCTCTACAGGTAGATGTTTGCATCTTGCAAGACTTCTCTAAAGACTAGGTTAACTCAAAATGGTCTATACCTCCTGAACTAAAATGCTTGTGGCAAAATCCTGATGGGTAATGGGGATTTTTTTTTTTTTTGCTCATCCTGTCTTGCACCCTTTTGTGGAAGGCACGCATTTACAGACTAGCTTTGCAAATGACCACTTCTCAAAATTGGACTCTGGTTCAGTCTGGGCTCCCCCAAGGGTCTGGGATTTATAAGTTATTCATGAACACTGCCCAGGTATGTTCTGGCAATCCTAAGCCTCAATTCAAGGTGAAGACCTTACCGACTGCCCTGGCTTTGGAGGGAAAGGGCCATTTTATGACAACTGTGCATTTAAGGGAATGCATGCCTTAATATCCTGATCCATTAAAAGTACCGGTTCATCTTTTAAGAACTGCACTACTCTTTCCCTTTGAACTAACCACAGCTCCCACCTGGGTTCTTGGAGCGATCTGAAACACCTAGATTCCTTTTGCGCATTTCTGGTCCACATGGATTGCTTTTCTCTTGTGACTTGGTAACATTTATACACTTTAAACATCCTATGCTGAATGTTTTCTCTGGTTTACATGTACAGATATATAAATTTTACACCCCCCCATCTAATAATCGCATACTTGGTCTTCCCACTGCTAATATTGAATAGAGCCATGTCCTTTGGTGGACTCTTTGTACAGTCTATAATGCTAGACTGCAATTTCTTTAAAGTAGATATGTAGAATAAATATAATTAAAATTGAGCTTCACTTGTTCCATGTTTAGGCAGCTGGTACTGAAGGAGCAAACCACCTTTTTGTGGTCAAGTAATTGCAGCAAGGTTTTTAAAATAAAATGGATTTTTTTTTTCTTCATTTTAACTGGTTAAAAAGTCACATTTTCATAGTTTTGAACATAGAATCCATCTTAATGTCAATCATTGTTTATTTCCTGAATAGATGTGGAGATAGACACAGGGAAGATTTATCAGATCTTAAATGTGGTACAAAGATGGAACAGTGAAGGCGTCAACAAGCAAGTATGGCTGCATCACTTTTTAGAAGCGAACACTTTGCTAAACCTTTTCCATTGTTATGGTATTTCCTACTCCAAGGCAATTTGTACCGTTGATTTGCAACTGGACTGAAATGAATTGTGATAATTGCATAATCTGTGGAGCACCCAATGAAAGTTATAGATTGTGTAATTTCCATCCCCCACAACCTCCAAAGGAAAAGGGACGACTCCCCTATTAATAGTTATTGCTCTTTTATTACCATACAATTTCCCATTTTATATATAAATAAAATTAATGTTTATAACTGCACGCAAACTTTACTTCAGTACTTACCCATCAAGAATATTTAATGCAAATCAGCTTACACTTCCCATGCTCCCCATCCTATCAGAGTGCAATTTCCTGACCAAACTCTTGCTATGAAACCAAACTGATAGTCAATGTTACCCTATTGATCATTTCATTTGGCAAAGCTGTATTTAAATGCATTTCTGTATTAACACACAGATTAACATTGTGACAAAGTTTTGCCAATAGAATGGTGGACCAATTTCCATAGATACAAATAAAAATTCTCCACACTTTGGCCCACTTTCCTCTGTGCAAAACATAAGCACCAGTAACTCCAATACACAAAATGACCGGTAATAAGCAAGCATTAATAAAACTCCAAAAGACACCCAGTGAATTCACATAATGAATTCAAAAGACGTTCAGGATTTACAAAGTATTTGTGCTTTGTTGTAAGCCACCGATGAACATATCCATATTTAACATGTAAACCCACCAAATGTTAGTGAAGTAGATCCAATTGACAGCATTGTGGCTATAATAGCCTAGCTGTGAATTGGAGATTTTTTTTTCTAGATTAATTATTTTAGCACAGATTTGCGAGAATGTGTAGTTTACTACATTACCCTGTAAGTAAGAATACTTAACAAGTTACATATAAGAAACAAAGGGACAAAACACACCAACATGGATAGAAGAAACTCTAAATTTGCTTCCACTGTTAATGGTTCTCATTAAATAGAAAATTAGTGATTGATTGCTATACTTCATTTGATTAATAACCACATTATTTATTCTTAAACATAACAGGAACTATTTCTTTTTACCCACACTGCAGGCGATCTTGTGTGATAATAAACCTTCCAGCCAAGACACATGGATCTCATCCATCAGTTACAAAGGTTCCCATGTTAATCTATCTATACATCTTCAATGCATAGCCCAAAAAGAGGGTGTGGAAGCGTACTTTTCGAAAACCTTTAAAACATTAAAGACTTTCCTTTCCTTATGGTAAACAATATATCCCTTAAGTTGTTTCACCTGGCTTTGCGCTCTAGATTAAACATTTTCTATCCTTAAACCATTTTACTACACGGAATTCTCACAGCGAACCAGTTAATATATATTTATCGTTTCAATAATTTAGAGAAAGATTAACATTTAGACAATTTGTTGGTTTTCAGAGAGGGTTGAAGTAGGGTGCATGCACTTTTTCATGTACTAATTATAATAGTGTTGAAAATAAAGGACAATCATGGTTAATAATAACAGAACTCAGAGCTTCCACGGCTGATTCCCTGCAATAAGCAAAAGGACCATATCAAGACTTTACCTTGCATATTATCGTTTCATTGTAGTTTGCCCACCTTGTATGTAATTTTAATTTTACCTATTCAACCCTTACTTCTTGTGTCCCTTTAGAATGTAAGCCTGTTTGAGCAGGGCCTTCTACACCCTTTGTTCCTCTTACAAATACTTGTCTGTTAGTCCACCTATTGTATAGCACTGATGAATTTCTTGGAGCTTTATAAATAACAAAAACCCCACACACTTTTTTTTTTTTTTTTTAAATAAGAAAAAGAAAAAATTGCGGGTGGAAGAAAATGGTTTAAAAGATCGGCAGTGTTGCTATTTTAGTAAATTGCAGCCAGGTTCTTTGTCTTACAGGACCATTGTCACAATATTTTACAGCAATACATTCTGACATACAAGCAATATCCAGGTTTGTATTTAAAGCACAGTTTGAGGAAGAACAGGCAAGGATTAGCGCAGGCATCGAAGCTCCGCTAATTAAATTACAAACAATATGGGTTTTTTTCAGAAATCAGAAGGGGAAATAAAGGCTGTGCATGCAGAACATTTATTCTGGAAGATGGAAAGTAAAAAAGAAAAGAAAAGAAAAGAAAAAAAAGAAAACAAAATAAGTTTTCTATTCACTACTAATTATAAAAAAAAAAAGCCATTTGTGATCACTTATATACAGGATAATTAGGGCAACTCAACTTCGAATGTAAGCTGTCAAAAGTACCAGAATCTTACAAATAAACTGTCTCACACAGTAATCATTCATTTCCCAATGACAGAAAAAAAAACAAACCGAAAAACAAAAAACCCCCACAGAAAAATCCTCCTCCCCCAACCCTCCAAAAGAAACAGAAATAAACAAATTCAGCAGTTTTATTTGCTTGGCCAACCTGGCCCTTCTGTTCTCACATAAGAATAGCTTTTATTATCCCTTATATTTGCCAACATCAGTTGCAAATGGGAAACATGGCAGAGCATTCCTTATACCTACTCCCACAATATCACATACATCTAACAGAAGGAATGAATGACAACACTACAAGCAGAAAAACAATGTTCCATCATTAGATTCCCAGGATGCATTGCTCTCCATGATGTAAATGCATGGTCCTCAAAGGGGCCACAAGTTTCTGCTTCCTCATTGCTTTTCTGACGATAGTCCATTTACAGTGTCGGAGGCTTCAATCCGTATTTGTTTGCAACTTCTGTTTGAGCGTAAGCAGCATCACATAGTGAGTAAAGATGGGCCATTTCCATTTCAGACTTGGCCAGATTAATGGCTTTGTTAAACATGTCAATTGCTTTGTCCAGATTTCCCCTAAAGCAAAAGAAAAAAACCTTAATATAAGCGGAAGTTCCTTAAAACGTAATTATTTGTATCTTTGTGAAAGTCATCAGGACAGCGTTGAAAGTGTTTAAACAGATAACAGATTATGTTAGGATATATGCTCAAGAACATGAAAAATGTATGTATGAGTAAAGACAATTTTACTGTTAAGGGATTAGTTGTAAAAATTAATATAAACACCAGATAGATAATAGAATGGTTGGAAAATGAAAACAACCAGTACTGATTCAAGCAAAAGTTAAAATAACGAGACAGACAACAATACCAAACACGATGCTGCCTTGGCGTTCTCTTTAATTCCAACCCCTTCTCACATCCAATCAATCGCTAAAGTAATCTCAAACACAAAGCTCACACCCACCCCAACCTTACACCGGATGCATGTGCTCGACCATGCCACTAGCATCTCCCACCTTGACTACTGCAATAGGCTACTAACTGGCCTTATGCACTCCCAGCTTACCCCGCTACAATACAAAATAAATGCTGTGGCAAGGACATCTTTCTTTCCTCCCCCTGTCATTATATAGTGCTCAATTTAAAGTTCTAGTCCTCACTCAGTTTCTTTAATAACATTGCTCCTGTATCTATCCTCACTAATACACAACTTTGTCCAAATCAGGCCCCTACGCTGTGCTGAAGGCATGCGACTATACTATGTTTATACTCGCACCTCTGACTCTTTCCTTCAAAGACTACTCGAAGGATGCAGGATTCCTTTGTAACTTCAATCCCTGCTCCATTAGACTCTCACCGAATCTCTATTCTGTCAGTAAATCACTGAAAATTAATTTCTTCTAGAAGGCAGATCAATGAAACTGTTAACAGCTTTCCCTCCCCTCATCTCACATCTGTGACTAAGCCTTAATTGAAAACTCTGCTAGCAACCTACTTGTGTCATTTTACACCATGCCCTAATAATGCAAGCTCGTCTGAGCAGGGCCATCAGTACCTTTTGTTCCTGTACATCCAACATCTCTTGTAGGAACTACTTGTTTGTAAATCTATTTATGGTACAGCACCGCGCAGCAGAATTTATTGGTGAGATATAGATAGATATATAATAATGACATCCAGACACAATATGACATGTTTCTCTTTATAAACACAGGGTTATTCACTAAAATGAGAATTCAAAGTAAATTTCAAATTTAAAGTAAAAAAATTAAAAAAGGAATCGAACCTGAATAATTCTTTAAGTCAACTATGCTTCCAGTTCAGTAATCAGTAATCTAGCCTTAAATTTGATAATTCACTTTGAAATTATCGAAGTAAACAACTGACCATATATTTTCTGTACAGAAAATATAAGAGAGAGAGAGAGAGAGAGAGAGAAAAAAAACCAAAAAAAACAAAACAGTGTTCGTTTAAGAAAAAGCAAGGGAAATTACCGCTGAACTTCAATTGTTCCCATTGTTTCGTAGGCAAAATCACATTTGTTGTCTATTTCAATGGCTTTACTGATTAGCTCTAATCCTTTATCCAGATCTTGCTTCCATTGGAGTTGAAGTAAACTATTAAAAAGCAAAGAACAGTATTTGTCAGGGACACAATAGCATATATTAAGAACATGCTTACAGAATCGTTGAGGTCAATTAATTAAATGTATAGGAAAAGTAAGGAATGAGGATGGAAATTACATTCCATGCAACCATGACAACCAGGTTCACGCAAATCCAAGTTCAATATAGAATGTCCTACTTGTATAGCATCAGCATATATAATGTGCCCTGATAAAAAAAAACAGGTACATTTCATGTTGGCGTAAGGTACACCTCAACTGGTTAAAATGCTATAGTGTGTAAATCCATTATATAGACAAATGGTTACTAAGCATCCACAAAAACGTTCTGTGGTGATTCAGCAACAGCTTTCTAACCATTGGCACTTATCAAGCTTTTAATGTCCACCAATCAGGATCCAAATTACTAAAATTAACTAGGCCATACTTCATTACAGAACAGCAGATGAATGCAAAGAATGAACCTGTGTGCAAAGTTGAACAAACACCCAGTGTAGACTTGCACAGCAAGCTGCATGTAGTTGCTATCCAAATTTAACATGCTTTTTTTTTTTTAGGGGAATCCTACATCTATTATGTGCTTAAAACACTAGAGTGATTCTCTACCAACAAGCAGGTCATAATGCAAATAAAATAAATTATACTGCACATTAGACACACAGTTTTAGAGAAGAGTTTTAAAAAAACAAAAACAAAAATCATCACAAAAACACTTACCCTTTATGAACATATGTTGTAGCATTGTCAGGCTCAAGGTCAATGCACTTATCATACATTTCATCAGCTTTTCCAAACTGCTGTTGATCTGTTAGGGCCTGCAAAAATAGGATTTTCAATAAGTTATGGGTCTTTCATTGTAAAGAACACTTCAAGCACCATAACCACTACAGTGCAAAGCCATGTATGTAGTCATACCATTGAGAACAGATTCACTTCTTACCTGGGATCTGCCAGGCACGGACCCTTGCCTACCGCATAGTCAGAGGCTCTATGCCTATACTTAGCACAGAGATACAGTGCTTAGCTGGTTGGCTGAGAGCGATCAGCGGTCACTCTCAGCCAATGAGCTGGCCCAGCACTGCAGGGGTTAGCTTGGGAGAGCCAATGGGAACTACTAAGCAGGAGCTTCCGGTTCTCATATAGCTATAGTGCATGCGTGATGTGGCACCAGACGGACTCCATATACGAAGTCCAAAAATTCTAAAATGGTTTGGATACTTTAAATGAGGAGAACCAAGACCCCTCTGGCTTCATAACCACTTCAGTTAACTATAGTGCTAGGGTACATGGAGTGTTCCTTTAAAAGCTAGAATGAATATCTGTGTAATACTGTAAACAAACCAACCTTTGTATCAATTTGCAGCACAAATAATACAAGGCTGCTATTGAAAGGCTACATTTATTCTGAGCGGTTTACTCATTATTATAGCCAAAGGCTGCAACAGTTATTATATTATTA